CCTGCCTCAGCTAATCCCCTAGCTAAAGAAGCTAAATCTACTTCCATACTCACCTGTGTGAGGGACTTTGGGTCTGTTTGTGTGATATGTGTGTCTGTGCATGCACACATGTGTGATACATACATGTGTCTGTGTGGAGTGTGCTGGTATGCATATGTGTAGAGAGAGCCTTTTCCTTGCCAGCTGCTTTGGTTTTTCCCCACCAGTCACCTGGGCTCTGCTGCATTGCAGTCCCCAATAACACACAGACACTATATTAATTATAAAGTTGTTGGCCTTGCTTGTTTCTTACTGGCTAGCTCTGACTTAAGTATTTAAGCCATAATTGTTAATCTAAGTATTTCTCTTACTTCTCTGGTGGGCTACATCGTGACTCCCTGTGTTTCTCCTTCCCAGGGTACTCCTTGACTCCTAGTTCCACCTATCTTGCTTCCCTATTGGCCAACAGTGCTTTATTGACATATACACAGAACTTCCCCATCACATATGTGTGCCTGTGTGTAGGTGTATATGCAATTATATCTGTGTAGTGTATGTGATATGTGTGGCATGCATGTACATGCCCATTTGTGAGTATCTATTACATATGTGTGTGTGGTGTGTGGTTATGTGACTGCGTTGTGTTGTATGTGTGTATATGTGTGTAGCGGGCATGTATGTCCAGCACGTGTCTTTCCTAATGGTGTCATCACAAGACTCCCTGGGTGCTCAGGCTTTAAAAGGCCTGTCCTGGTAGATGTCACACTAGGTGAGCATTGTGTTTAAGAGAATAATGCTGGCCGGGCGTTGGTGGCGCACTCCTTTAATCCCAGCACTCGGGAGGCAGAGGTGTGAGGAAGGTAACAGGGGCATTTCTCTAGCCAGGACCGGATGGCACGGGCTTTGAGGGGTGCTTGTCTAACTGTGTTTGCAGGCTCATGAGTCTCCATCACCAGAGACCCTCATCTGTGTTCTGGAGAAACAGCCTTGTCCATGTCATTTGCCGACTGCCTCCTCACACCCCATCCTCCTGAGCATGCCTCAGCTGTCTGCACCGCAGGGAGAAAGACACTTTTATCACATCATCAAAATACCATGTTGAGCTGAGAGCTGCCTTGGGGTTTGCAGAATCCCTAAATAGAAACCATTTTACTGCAGGCTTTCACACGGAAGAAAACATAGATCATGTTTGTGTGAAAGTGCCCATGACATGTCAAGGTCATTCCTGAGTAGCTCTCTGTTCTGTCCAACAGAGTTTTCTTCAGCAATAAAAACTTGTCATCTGACTGTCTACATACAGTAGCCACTGCCCACAAGGGACCACTGAACGTTTGAAATGGGGCTAGTGTAATTGAGGGAAAAGATCTTGCATCCTATTTAGCTTAAATAACCTAAGTTTAAGTAGTGCTAGGTGGCTCTGTAGGAGCAGGAGGGCTGAGTGACAAGGAATGCCATCTTGATCTTTTATTTAATAATTAACAGAATCCGCTAGAGTCTAAGGTTGTGTAGCAGTCTCCTCCAAGATTAAAACCTTCCATTTTAGAAGGAAACTTTCTAAGGACAGGATATTTACAGGAAGGTGAAACATTCCATCCTGCAGGGAAGCTTTTAAGACAGGAAGTAAACAACTCAAAATAGTTCCAAGGAGTCCCTGAAATCGACCCCTTCCCATGAGTATATAAGCAGTAAAGACTACCAAGAGTCACTCTTAGACAAGTCGGGCTGCCTGGAAGAGGCTTAGTGTAGGGAAAAGGGACCAGCCAAAGAAACACACTTTGGCCCTGCAACCAGAACCAAAGAAATGTACCCGGACCCTGAAACCAGTGCCAAAGAAACACACTTTGTCCCTGGAATCAGAACCAGTGAAAGAAATGTACCCTGGCCCTAAAACTAAAGGCAAAAGGCTAAAAAGGACCAGTGCAAGAAACACACATTGACCCTGAAAGGAGCGCTAAATCTGACCCTAAGCCTATGCAGAAAACTAACTAATCCCTGAGCAAGAGATTTAGCCATCTTAAACTCAGGATTGAAATCTGACCAATCCCCACCATGGAAAACTCCCCCCACCCACCCTAAGAAGCCCTATATAAACGCTGTGTCTTCAGCTTGTGGCTGTTCATGCTGCCTGGCTGTCCTCTGCCATTCTGGCAAAGGGCAGTCACTCTTCCTGGATTCTCTCCCAATAAACCTTTTGAATGATCTTTGGGTGAAGACCTTCATTTGCAGCAGAGCAGAGAGGACCCTGGACAGAGCAGAGCGAGCCGGCTGTAACACTTTTGGCGGCAGAGCAGAGTAGTTACACTCCCTCTCTCCACTCACTGGAACAGAGCTCAATTGTAGCAACTTCACCCAGGAAACCTCCTTCCGGAGCAAAACTACTACACTGGGAAAACATCCCCAGCTGGAAAACCCTCTCCTGCTGGAGCAGAACTTCCCAGTGGGAAGCCTTTCCCTGAAGCAGGGCTGTAAGCTGCTATGCTTACTATGACCTGTGGTAGTCCTTGGCTCCCAAGCTCCAGGATACCTTTCCATCTGAGCTATGGAACATTCAGTATCCTTTGGCTCCTGAGTGCCATAATCCATTCCTGTCCATCACATCTGATCCGTCAAAATGCCTACACTTAGACCAACCGAAAAAAACCTGGAAATCATACTTTGCAACCTGATGAGCTGCCTGTGGGTTGTGATGTATGCCCCATGTTTCCAGATGTGTGAGCTGCCCCCCATGCCAAAGTGGACTTTGATGATGGAACTGCCCTTGAGTGGTTTCTGCTCCTGTAAGTAACTCCAATAAAACTCATGGATCGCCAAGTTGGACTTGGGTAGTATCCATACCTTGATCTGTCATAGGCTTGCTATCTCAGGGGACAATAAACATTTGTTCCGGTCTTCACAGAAACAGTCTTGACATTTGTTAAAAGCCAAATTCTACCTTAGCCGTAGCATAGTTAAACATGAGATTAATTACTAACCACAAGAGAAATCTGTACCAACCAGTTTGGAACTTGAGACGACAATTGTCATGTCTCTGGGGTGAGTGTACCAAGTTCGGGAAGTGAAGTTCACTGAGAAAACCTAGGTGTAAGAGGGATTTGGGAAGGGCGGGAATTTCATCCTGGATCCTAACATCCATGTTGGTTTTACACAGGATGAGAAGACCCATGAGAAGATGAACCACTATGATTGTTTGGAGTACCACCCAAATCTTAGCATTAAGAAAGACAGCACGGAAACCGGGCATTGGTGGCTGCATGCCTTTGATCCCAGCATGCGGAAGGCAGAGGCAGGCGGATCTCTGTGAGTTTGAGGACAGCCTGGTCTACAGAGCGAGTTTCAGGACAGCCTCCAAAACAATACAGAGAAACCCTGTCTCGAAAAACAAGAAGAAGGAGGAGGAGGAGGAGGAAAAGAAAGGCAGCATGAGGGCTAGAGAGATGGCTCTGTGGTTAACAGCATTGATTCTTTTCCCAGAGGACCTAGGTTCAGTTCCCAGCATCCACACGGTGGCTCACAGCCATCTTTAACTCCACTTCCGGAGGGTCTAGTGCCCTCTACTGTACACATACAGTAATGCAGGCAAAACACACATACACATAAAATAATTAAAAAGGCAGCCCCAACTCTCAGCCCACCAGAGACACCTCCACATGCAGTGGACAGCAGTTAATCAGAGGCTCACAATAGGTCAAAGCACAAAAAAAAAAAATAAGTGACTGCAGAGTGCTCAGCCCTAAATGGACAACTGCATCAGCCCCTCCCCAACAAAGGCTCAGGAGCCATGGCAGAAGAGGGGACAGAGAGACTGTTAAGAGCCAGAGGTCAAGGAAGGCTGGTAAAAAACCAATACCTTTTAGACACTGCACTCAAGAACTCAGCACCCGTGACCAAGCCAGTCACCATCCGGGCATGGAGGGTGTGCTGGGCAGTTTCATGTCAACTTAACACCAGCTAGAGTCATCCAGGAGGAAGAAATCTCGATTGAGAAAATGCCTCCATAATCTCAGGCTGTGGACAAACCTGTAGGGCATTTTTTAAATTAGTGAATGATGAGAGAGGACCCAGCCCATTGTAGATGGGGCCATCCCTGGGCTGGGTGGTCATGGGTTCCGTAAGAAAGCAAGCTGAGCAAGCCGTGGGGAGCACGCCAGGAAGCTGCTCCCCTTTTCATGGCTTCTGCATCGGTTCCTGCCTCCAGGTTCCTTCCCTATTTGAGTCCCTGCCTTGACTTCCTTTGATGGTGAACGGCGACGTGGAAGTGCAAGTCAAATAAACCCTTTCCTTCCCAGGTTCCTTTGGTCGCAGTGTTTCATCACAGCCATGGTAACCCTAAGTGGGATAGGGGGAGGGGCTCACAAGACCCCACCCATAAACAGAAGAGCTTACAGTTGATAACTGCTGGGAGGAAGGGGTGTAAAGAGAAACCTTTTCCTTGAGAGAAGCCTTCCCACTGTCCTGGTTCTAGAGCCACATCAGTCCCAAATAAACACACAGGAGGCTATATTAATTATGAAGCTGTTGGCCTTGCTTGTTTCTTCCTGGCTAGCTCTGACTTAAGTAATTACCCCATAATTGTTAATCTATGTATTTCTCTTACCGGAGACGTTTCCGGGCTTCCTACCCCATGGCGTTATTTCTCAACTCTCCTGTGTTTCTCCTTCCCAGAGTTTTCCTGGACTCCTAGTCCCACCTATCTAGATTCCCTATTGGCCAGACAGTGCTTTATTGACAAATGCACAGGACTTCCCCAACAAAGGGGAAATCCTTTTTTTCCTTATGTGGTGTGGCCCCAGTAGGCTCTTCATACTCCAGCGGACAGCCCCACACCCGTCCACATATGGTAACACTGACTGAAAAAGAAGAGGACATGAAGTTAGTGTGGGGGGGGCAGATGTTGGCTGTCTGGGAGACGTTGGAGGAGGTGCTGAGATCACAGAATGGATCAAAACACATTGTGTGCATCTGTGAAGTTCTCAGGGGATCAATTTAAAAAATCCAGCCACAGGAAAAGATAGTACAAGGTGTTTTGTTTTCTCTTTGTTTATTAAAGGATGTATATACATACATATATACATACACTTTTATTTATATATAATATATATATCCTTCCAGTTCTTTCATGCTACTGGCAGAACATGAGCTTTGTTCCCTTATCAGGCAGAAGCCACACCTCATTCACCCAAAACCATGGAGAAAAGGATAAGGGAACAACCAGTAACTGTCATCTAAACATGCACCTTGGCATTGCCTTTCCTTCTATTTAACTGGCTGGGCTCCGAATGGCCAGTCCACTTAAAGAGATCCAGTTGATGCTAATTGTTTAAGCTCTTGATTCGGTGTCCCATCTATAAAACACACATAAATAGCATATTACCATGATCTAGGACAACAACATTTTGAAGGTCATGGCAGAATCCAGTCCTCTCTGCCCTGTGTGGGATTAGCAAGCAGGAGTGTCAATCCATGGGGGTTATCTCCATGACAGACCCTCAGGTTTTACTCGGTAGCTTTAAGGAATTCTCTGAAACCGTGAGGCATTTCAAAACCAAATTCTTTCTTGGGGTAGAGGAAAACCGATTCATCCCGTCACTGTGAAACATCAGCTCGGTGACTTCCGAGGCGGCCTCGTGGGCAAAGCCGGGGCCCAGTCTCAGGATGGAGGGAAGATGTGCAAAGCGCAGGCGTGAGAAGTCTCTGCTATACTAACGTTGCATTTCTGACCTTCTGAGGACTGGCGGTGTCGAAGGAAACCCTCGGATGACTTGCTGCCCTGGGCTGCCGTGTTTTCTGTTCCTGTTGACAAAAGCAGAAGGGTCAGCCTGCTCCCCTGAGAAGCGCCGGGAACAGGGATGAACCACTGTACAGAGAGGCACAACCCTCTCCTCCTTTTTCTTCAGCAACACACACTCTGGGTGCTTTTTCCAAAGCCCAGAGGACAAACTCATTGCGAGAATCCAGGACCCGCTTTTACCAAACCAAATTACAGATGCCGAGATCCCCTGTTTTGCTTTGTTTTCCAATTTTTTTCCTGTGGAAGTTCTTGCTTTACCTGGTAGGGTGGTTCTCTGTTTTTAAAAAAAAAGTAAGGTATTTGTGGATGTCTTCACAAATAACACACATTCCTTCTAAAAGAGCAAAAGCAAAGCCGTGGAAATCCACCGCCCCCGTGTCTCCTGTGGCATTGTGTAGTGGCTGGCTTCTCATTCAGAAACCTTCCAAGCTAACCTAGGCTCCTCTACAAAGCCAGTGACTTCACCCTAGGAAGATGTGAGCACAAGCCTAACACGTGCCCATAAGCCAAGCACCTGGGAGACAGAGGCAGGAGGATCATGAGTTCAAGTTAACCTGAGCCGCACAGGGAGACTCCGTCTCAAAAGCCAAGAAGTTGTGTGCAACCCATTTTCCCTGCCAGCCCTGAGGGGTAGCAGTTCAGACTTCGGGGCGCAGCAAGCGTATCAAATGTCTTAAATAATGCAGCGGGGCGGGATGAATTATTCAGCCTCGGGTGGAACGTTGCGGATCTTGAGTGGGGAATAGTCTCAAGCTGCTGTGTGGCTTCCATTTACAGGCACCCGCGAAGGAAAGGCGCACCCCCCCCTTGGCGGATGGAGCTGTCTATGCCAGGGTCTCTCTGGAGGGTGCCTTCTGCCGGGAGATGCTGGAGGGTTTTGCAGTTGTTTGCTTCTGTTTGCTCTGCTGGGCTGCATGAATGCGCTGCCGCTTTCTAAATTTATCACGGGTTTATTTCTGTTTATCTCAACAGGAGGAATGGATTAGCAGGCAAGGCTCAAGCAGGGTTATGAAACATTCATATGCCCTCGAAAACTGAATGGTAAAGACATGGAATTGCAAAAAGGAAAAAAAAAAAAGAAGAAGAATTGACTGACAGAAAGTGAAGGCCCAGAAGAGAAGAAGGAAGGGTGGAATTTGTGTTAAATATTCATCTAGGTATAAATCATTCGTAAAGCCCAGGGTTTTAAACCAAAACAGAAAGGGTTCATTTGTCCCATGAGCTGGCTGTGATTTGTAGCAAAAAAAGAAAAAAGAAAAAAATTAAATTCTTGTGAGCTCTGTCCTAAGATGTGACCTTGACACATCTGAGCTCCTTCTACCACCTAACAAGCTCTAATCTAGTAGCCAATGGCCTAATCCATGCCCTAATCAAACACCCCATCATGACAGAAGCCAGCGGTGAAGAGCGGTCACGCTTGGCATGTGTCCATTCAGTAACCTTTTTTTCCTTCTAACTATCCTAGACATTTAATGCCTGGGCTGGGCTCTGCAGCCTAAAAGTCTTAGTCTTCCACCCACGTTGAACACGGTGTGTCTTAGGATGCGTCTAAAACACCAGAGACCAAGAGGTCAGAATATTTGAGCCTCCCATCCTTGCACTTGGTGCCGACGATGGCCCCAGAGACATCTCAGGCTCTTCCTGTGATGCCGGAAGCTCGCTGCACCATGGTGGACACATGAGGCACAGTTTAGGCAGCCTCCTGGAAGTCAGAGAAAACGCTGCCTTAGAAACAGGCCTGTGTCTACACAAACTCTGTCCCCAAGCAGATCACCTGGGAGACCTTTGAAAACACTGTTTCTTAGATCTGATCTTGTCTAGACAGTCTGGGAGAACCCCCTAAGAGCTTGCACAAGTACCCAAATACTTCTGGGATGGGCTGCACTGAGATGCCAGGGAACGAGACATGGGTTTCTACAGGTTCCACGTGTGCCTCATCATATTCAGCAAGTATTCTTCAGGAATCCAAGCATCTAAGTTTCTATCAGGGTATGGCATGAATTGGGATATACACTCCTAAGTCAAAATCCCCCCTGGGGCTGAAGAGATGGCACAGCGGTTAAGACCACGTGCTGCTCTCATTCCTAGAAAGCACATGGTGGCTCATAACCGTCCACAGCTTCACTTCTGGGGTTCCTGACGCCCTCTTCTTGTCCCTCATGGTACTGCACACATGAGAACGCATACAAACGTGCATACACACAGACACACTTACATGTGGGCAAATCACTCATACACATGAAATAAATATTTAATACCCCAATGCTTAGGGAAGACCCCACAGGGGGAAAAGGGCTAGAAAGGGATTGGGCAAAAGAGAGCTCCAGGCAACGGAGGGTTAAGTGGTTCCGGGAGCCAGCATCTTCTCACATTAACAGATCTCACCATCTTCTGTGGTGACTGGCCCACAGCAGCCACCGTCCTCCTGAAGCTTCTAGTCACAATGGCTGCTTCTTCTGTGGGGCACTCCTACAGGCACCACCTGTCCCCTAAGACTCTGTCCCTGTGGCTATCCCTCACCCTTCTGAAGACGTACAAGGACTCTACCGAAACTATCGGCAGATGAAGAAGGGTCTGACCCAAGAGCATCACCATCACATGACGTCGCCATGGCAACACGGACACCAGCACTCTAGACCTTGCCTGGAAAGACATGGAGTAGGTAAAGGGTTATGGGATTTGGGGGTCTCCTAGCCTTCCAAAACTGAGCCTCCTGCAGGGTAACTGCCAGATCTAGAATGCTGTAACTAGAATCGTGCCACAGGACCCTGGGATGAAGACTTGTGTGTGTGTGTGTGTGTGTGTGTGTGTGTGTGTGTGTGTGTGTGTGTGTGTAGAGCTCAGAGGTACTAGAGGCTGGGGCATTGACAGGAAACCTCTGGAAAGCCCCCTCTCCCCTGAATGCTGCTGTTTCTTAAGCTCTGCATAGCCCCAGGTCCTGCTTGGCAGTTGCTGTGCTATTTAAAGAACTAAGCTTTGCCACTTCCGTGGCCTATTAGCACCAAGGAGGCGCCTCAGTTGCTGGTGGCACCCTGTGTCTCTATGGATAGGCCATTTATCTGCCCCCAATGAGCTCCTCAGCAACCTAGGCTAGGAAGAGCACCAGCTGCAGACTGGCTCACAGCTAGAGAGCTCCGTTTAGTCTACGGTCTTTTCAGACTGTGAGCTGGGCGGGTGGGAGGGAGGGAGGGGTCTTCGAAGCAGGAGGCACAGCTTGTAGTCGGTAACCCTGGACTCTTAACTGGCCGTTATCTTGAGCTGGGAGACAGGGGGAGCCAGCTCTGACCCTAAGGGGCACGCGAGTACAGAAATGATCCCATGCCGATGTGGGGTGGCCTGTGATGAACTGGAGCCACACAGAGGCAGTAGGAGGTAGGCTAGAGAGACAAAGGATACACACTCAGCCACCTCTCCCACCTTCCAGGAGCACGGATCAGTGCAGGGTAGAAGAGAACGGGCTATAACATCCTTACAGGAGACAAGAGCCCATCGCCCCCTAAAGGCTCCCAGAATAGACTGATATGGGCGTCTGGCCTTCAGGAAGCTCTACAAAGGAGCCTCTGGGTTTAAGGGTCACCTGAACCATTGCTGTAAGAAATGGATGCAGCCACACCGGAAACTTTCCCATGTCCACACAAAGACTATGTCCTCTTCGAACCCAACACGGGGAATAGCTATGCACCTGGCTACAACCCTTCCCTCCAGCTCATTGGCTACTCAATGTGACTTCCAGAAAACACAGCCACATCTACACAGGCACCCTTTGGTTGAACTTGACTGCCCTCTTCAAGGTATGCCTTCCCTAAAACACACACACACACACACACACACACACACACACACACACACACACACAGAACAGAAAGAACCAGCTCTTTAGTAACTACACTAAGTTTCTAGCTAGGCAAAGACAGTTCTCTCTGGGGTCTGATTGGTGTTGTGTGGACATCAACACTCTGTGCCAATGCTCAGCTCACCTTGAAGCTTGCAAACCCCTCCCCCAGGAAACACAGCACACACCATCACCATCATCAGATGTGATACCTGCACCATGAGCAAGTCCGAGGTATCAGGAAATGAAAGTCAAGACGTCCGTCCGTTTGTGCTACGAGAATTCGTGTGTCCCTATTGCAAGAAGAGGGGAGTGCACGTGTGTCCGCGCCCCCTCCCCCATGTCTGCCTGCCTCTGCTAAGAAAATGTGTCCATACATTTATTGCCAGGGGAATGTGTGTGTGTGTGTGTGTGTGTTTGTGTGTGTGTGTGTGTGTCCCTGTCGTAAGGAGGGAGCAAGCTTACAGCACAGTAGAGAAACCCCCGGTGTGAAAGCCCGTGTTCTCCTCGTGCTAGATGTTGATGTCAGATGGGGCAAGGCCGGGGTTGTAAGCCAGGACTAGAGAGCAGGATGCACCTGTGGTTATCAGCTGCACAGAAATCCGTGGGGGCTGGGACCCAATAATCAGATTCAGCACCATGGCCACTACCTTATTTTTTTTCCACCAATAGATTGCTTAACTGGCCGTGTGTGTTAGTAGTCCGAAACTCTCAATTTCTTTCCCTGAGTATTTTCAGGACAGCCTTAAGAAGCATCCTCTTGTAGTTCTTGAAATACCATTCTCCATTCTCTTGTCCAGTCACTGACATTCCCATTTTCCTCACTCACAGCAGATACATTCCAGACGAAATTACCTAGTGGACCCTATTTGGATCTAGTGAGCCCTATTCAGATCTCTTCCTAGGCAAACGCTTGGGCTTGTCTACAGCAGGGAAAAGACAACCAGAAAAGAACTTGGGGAGGCGGGGGCACATCTGAAGTGTTGCTCTTGGGGGTACCCATGCAGGATGGCTTCTCCTCACTGTCAACACGGCTGGATCTGAAATCACCAAGAAAAGACACGCTTCTGAACCTATCTATGAGGTGCTCCCAGGGAGGCTTAGGAGGGGGGAAGAGCCACCCTGAATGTGAGAGGACCATCCCGTGGGCAGGGGGTCCCATACTAATTCAAAGGGAGAAAGGAGGTGGCACAGCAGCGCCCACCTCTCTCTGCTCCCCGAGACTGTCAGGGACCGCGTTTCCAGACCGTGAACCAGAAGACACTGCTCCTTCTTGGCGTTACTTTCGCAGGGCATCTTGTCACAGCAACAAGAGTCGCAACTTACACACACCATGCTTGCAGCTGGGTGGCAGGGAGCCCCTCAGGCACCTGCGTCCTCATCAACCTGTGACCTCACCAAGGTAGAGCCATCGAGACTGGGCGTACGATACCGCCCCACCCACCGCCACAGCCGGCCCCTTGCTCATTTTAATTCTGCCACCCGTTGGTCACCAGTGATCCTCAGGAAAGCCGGCCTCCTTTTCCCCTCCACTTCCAGAGCTTCAGATCCATCCAAAGATACACAAGCCAAGAACCTGCTTTACTTAAAAAAAAAAAAAAAAAAACTGACCTCTTTGTTTTCCTGCTCCTTCGCCCGCGGGAGCGACTACAGTGTGTAGTTGTCTGTCACTGAGACACATCTTCATTTGTGCTGCAATACCCCCCATGAGTCTTCTCCACTGGCTTCCCATGCTCCCCTAACATCGTCTGAGTCCCTAACTAAGCATCAGGCAGAGTCTCCTACCCACTTGGAGCCTAAAAGTTCTGTGTCACTGATGGGATGCATGCAGGCCGCTGAATCCCAGAAAGAGGGACAAAACCACAGCGCAGAGCTACTGGGAAATCCATGTCAATCCATGTGTCCAGACAGAATGACCAGGGACCACAGAGGCACACACACTAGATGCCGTCACCACAAGTCAACACTGTGCAGATCAAAACCATCCAGTGAGTGACTTAGGGATCTAGAAGAAGCTTCTCCAGAAGGGGAAAGAAGGGCTGCCCCTTCTAACTGGGGCCCCCAGGTTGGGGATCCCCTGGAGTGTGTCTCTGTGGGAGTTTCACTTGTACAGGTCAGAGAGGATTGCCGGTTATCCTTTGACTACTGTTTCAGATATAAACTGTTTTCTGCAATGTGAGCTCCAACTCATACATGTTTGGTGATAACCATGCTGACTCTATACTATGTTCAGTTCCCAGCTGACAGTTTTAACCGTCTTGTCCATCAAACACTACAGACATATGCATTCAACAGCACACAGACTCTCCATGATGGAGACATCAGAAACGCTCCACATAAATATTGCGCTCCCTCGGCAATCTCTACCTCCAATTCCCAATGACTCTCCCCATCTCCACCCAAACTCCAATCCCAACAGGATCTTGCCCACTGACATCCTCTCAGCCATAGACCTCATGTACATAGCAAACCACATGTATTCTCCTGCTTTTCAAAACCCAGCACCCAGCATCCTTCCATGAGACAAGGGACCCAGGGTCCCTGATGGAGGCTGTCCTTCTGTATATATGTTTCTCTTATTGATCAATGAATGACACACTGATTGGTTCAAGCAGGAAGGATAGGCAGGGCTACCAGATGAGGGGAGTGTGGGGGAGAGGAGAGAGAGGCTGCAGAAGGAGTAATATGTCAGATTACAGGTAAGCCACAGACTGGTGGCAATACACAGATTAATAGAAATGGGTTAATAATTAAGACAGATTTAGCCAATAAGAATCCTGAGCCATCAGCCAAACATTTTATACTTAATATAAGTCTTTGTGGGCAAAGAGGTTCTGGGACCAGGTGAGACAGAAACTTCCATCAACAGGTCCCAGTGTAAATGTGGACTATGCAGATTCTAGGTAGCTGAAACATCAAAGCTGACTCAGATCCGAGAGACCTTTGTCAAAGAGAACAAACGACAAGTTACATCCTTCCATCAACTGGACTTACAGTCACCGCTGTAAGAAAGCAAGAGATAATTCCTCTCTCAGCCCTGTTCCTGGTAGGCTGTCTGCTTGTAACAGAGGTGGAGACAAGAACCCTTCTTCCATCATGAATATTCAACATGTACCTATCACGAGGTATGCATTTTTAAATGTCTGAAATATTCTACATCACCTGATAAGGAGAGAGATGACTGCGTTGTCCCGGAAGGCTGACTTCACCAGATTTAGGAGGCAGAGAAGCAATCTCTGGAAGAGAAGATTTTTTTTTTAAATGCATGATGCTTTTTAAGAAAAGAGGTTGCATATTTTAATAATTAATTAGGATTGCTAAGTAAACAACATGCCTTCCTATGTAGTTCTGGCATAAAATCATCTCTACAGTTTAGATCTGGGATGTCCCTCAAGGCCTTGTACTAAAGACTTGGGCTATTGGAAGTGATGGGTCCTTGAAGGGGTGGAGCCTAGTAAGAAGAAGTTGGGTGGTAGAGAAGACATCCTTAAAGAGAATGCTGAACCCCTGGCCTCTTCCTGTCTCTCTCTTTGCTTCCTAGCACCATCTAGTTAATACTCCACTCCATGATGGTCTGCCTACCACAGCCCCAAGCCTTCAAAACCGTGAGCCAAATGAACCTTTCCTGCCTGTCTTGGCTGTTTAGCTCAGTACCCCACAGGTGATGGGAAGATAGCATTACATTACCTAAGCTTAGAACTTCATGCTTTATGCTTTATGTATGTGCTACAAAAATAAGGAAAACTGACACAAAAATGTCAATTCCTTCCTCCACATGTTGGTCTTATCTAGACACAAGATGACCCATGGCTTCAGTAGATCGACCGAGGGCACGTTGAGGGTTGGGTTTAAGCCATGATTTTGGTCAAGCTACTCGCAAAAACACTCAGAACACTAATGAATACACAATAGCAAGACATCCTCGAGGGAGTTGGGGACTCCTCAAATGCCGCAGCTCATGCTTCGTGGAACTTTTTAATGTGACACATAGAATTTGGGGTGCCCAAGGGAGGCAGCCTGGGTGACATCAAAGAAGGGGGATACTGAAAATCAGAACCCCAATCTTAGCAAGGGCCAGCTGGCTGGGGAGGGGTCTTTCCCTGGGATTTGTTTTGCTGATCCACAGGGCTGAAACTCCCTTTCTAGATGCTGAGGGCTGGTGTGTGCCGCCTGCCCTCTCTCCTCATCCTTGCAAATCCTACTGCTGTGACACCGCCTACAGAGAGTCCCTGCCCCATTGTGACTACAGAAAGGGAGATTGCGAAAAGACTTCTCAGCGTAGTTTAGCCTTCCAACAACTCCCCTGTCTGACTGATCAGGCGCAGACTCTTCTACGAGTCAGTTGTACTTGAATCGGGTTAAGTTTGGAAGAAATCACCAGCGGTAACTTAAAGGAGAGTAAAAAGCCTTGAAAATTATTTTTTTAACGTTCATTCTATTTAAGCATTAAGCAGAAAGAGAGAGAGCTTTACTGCTAAATCTACTCACAACTCTAAAACTTCTCCTAAAACAATTATCCAAACACTGATTGTCCCCAACGTCTAGATTTTTTTCTACTTGAGAAGCTGGCGTCGAGGCGACCCACACGTCTTCCTCTGGAGGTATTCCTGGTACTCACGTGCGGCCCTTGCTTCATCTGAACTGTACCCATAGTTTTCCTTTCCACTTTTTAACCTGGTCTCAGGATCTGTTTTGTTTGTCTTCATGCTTGCAGTCTTTCTGGAATTAAAGCATTTCAGTTACAGCTTCTGCTCAGCAGAGGTAGACAGCCTGTGCATTCGTGCACGCTAGCGAGAGGGAGGGATAGCGTTCATCATGGCAGGTGTGGGGACTCAACTCCCAAAAGCCCAACTATTCCACCATCACTGTTGAAATCCACTTGCCACCACAGTTTCTGGCAGCTGCCTTTGTGTCACAGCAACAGAACACAGCGGTTGTGCCAAAGACGTCATGGATGGCAAAACCAAAAGTATTTATTGTGCATTCCTTTGTACAAAAAGTGGGTTGATTTCCCCCCCCAAAAAAATAAAGCAGAGACCAGTGCAGATCCCTAGGGGAACAAAGTTTGATGATGGATAGCCAGAGAATGAAAAAATGTTCATATCCAACTCCCAAGAGTATCTGCTGAGAAAACAATCGTGAAATGTGCAAAGGCTTGCCTGTAAGATGGCGCATATGTGATCCCACAGACAACCCAAGGGGCCAACATAAGCGAGTTATGCACTTCCATACTGTCCATAAAAATGTGATAGACAAAAAGCTCTCACATACTGCAGGGGACAGTGGACACTGGACCGCTCGTGGACAACAGTGCCAACCGTCCAAAACTGAACACATGCCTACCATGTGTCCAGGCCCTTGACGCTATGAGGATGCACAGAACTCTGAACAGGATGGGTACTCAAGTACTCCATGGAGACATACAAGAACGCTCAGTCAAAGCCCCACATAAAGTTGAGGAGGAATAAGTCCCATGTATAGCTAGAACACGGCATTATGTCATCAGAAAAATATCTCCATCCACACGTGGCAGTGTGGATGGGCCTCACTGTGGGACACTCTGGAAGGCAGGCATGCTTGGATGAGTATGTGTGGCGATTCATTTACGTGGGTCTAATCTTAGGATGTGGGGAAAAGATATCAGAAGGGTGTCGCCCTTGAGGACAAGGAGACAATGATCTAAGGCAGGTCTGAGACAGCTCTGTGGGGCTAGTTCTCAATCTTGGCCAAGGCCATACATAGCCCAGGTACTTGGGAGCATCAGTCACGCTGCATACCTTTGTGAATGAGACCCATCACTGTGTAAGACAAATGTATATTAACAAAAATGTCTAAAGATGTTTTAAAATTTAAGTGCACGGTGTCTGTGTCTGTGCATGGGCATGAACATTTGACGATGTCCAACTGCAGATGCCCAAAGGGAGTGGTCATAGCTGCCCGGCATGGGTGCTGGATTTCAGGTCCTGTTGCAAGAACAGCAAGGGCTCTTACTCTCTAAAGCCATCCCTCCAGCCCCTCTAATGAAACTGTCTTAACTTCTACACCGTTTGCTGATATAGTTGCTTATGTTTCTTTTTTTCAAGCAGAAAGGGCAAATAATAAAACTGCATGCCCAGCTTTCATAAAAAAATGAAATTAAAATCATCTGGAAAAAAATTAAAAGAAACTATAAACAAAAGTGCTATTTGTTAGTAGAAAAGAAAAGAAACTTCAAAATAGTGTCAGATAAAAAGGACACACTGTTAGATAACAGTTGCTAGGGTCCAGATTGTACAAAATGCCTGCATGTGTATCTCCGCTTCTACACGTGAGCACACGCATGCACATAAAAACATACACAAACATAGGTAGCAGTAATTACCTCTATACAATGGATCTACAGGCGATATTAACATGGTTTCCCAGGTCTATTTGTGTTTAATTTCTTTTCTACACTAAATATGTACCGAACCATCAAGAAAAATATGTATGGTTATTTGTGGGGGCGGCGGTTCGAGACAAGGTTTCCCCGTGTAGTTTTGTAGACCAGGCTGGCCTCCAACTCTCAGAGATCTGCCTGCCTCTACCTCTTGAGTGCTGGGACTAAAGGTGTGCGCCACCACCAATGTCCAGCTGTATGGTTATTTTAACACAAAAAAAATTAAGTGGCTGGAGACAGCAATGTGGACGAATGGGAAGGCCAGGAAATGCAGACAGGCCGTGAGCCACCATCGTGCCCCCAGGACAAGGCAATCTGTTCTAAACCAGGAGCTGCATGCAGATGAGGGGCCTGGCTCTGACAACAGCTGCCCTGTCTACATCCCTGACTCCCCCACAAGCAGAACGTTAGAAATATCACCTCTGTCTCAGAACCCTCAGCCACAAAAGGGCCTATACATCCATGGTGAGACGTGTGCAGAGCTCAGAGCAGCACCCATCTGTTAGGGGCGGGTATGAATGAGACAGTGAGGGGTGGGGGCCTTAGATGTTGCCATGGCTACACATGCCTATTGTTATTCCCCACCATTTTGATAAAATGACTCTGGGCTGCTCCGCTGTGCCTTGAAATCCTTTAAGATCCTGAGAACGGAACCACAGGTTGTGGCAACCATCAGCCTGCTCATCTGTGGAGGAATCCAGGCTAGGACCCCCGCCCCCTGAGGACCACGGGCGGAGAAATTCTAGAATACACACCAGGGTATGTTTCCTCGCTTTCCCTCACCTCACATCGAGCCCCAAAGGGCAGCTTCCAGGCTGTTACTGCATGATGCCTCAGAATGTAGCTGCCTCACTCAGAACCTGGTTTGGTTTTTGTTTTGTTTTGTTTTTCCACAGAGAGGGACAGACAGTGAATGGAAAGAACCTGCCATTTGGCAACCATCACACATCCACTCACGGGAATGTTCACAGCCAAAAAGGTTTTCAGATTTCAGAGCCTAGAAACTTGATTTTATCTAATAAACACTGACTTCTATATGTGGTTTCAGACACCTTCAGCCAAAGTTAACATGCTGGGTGACTGTGACTCTGAAAGTACCATAGACATTAACACTGGCTACCAAATATTCCTGTGAACATACCAGCTACCATGTATTCCTGTGAATATACCAGCTACAATGTATTCCTCTGAATATACTAGCTATCATGTATTCCTGTGAACATACCAGCTACAATGTATTCCTGTGAACATACCAGCTACAATGTATTCCTCTGAATATACTAGCTACCATGTATTCCTGTGAACATACCAGCTACAATGTATTCCTGTGAACATACCAGCTACAATGTATTCCTGTGAACATACCAGCTACAATGTATTCCTGTGAATATACCAGCTACCATGTATTCCTATGAACACACTGGCTGCCATGTATTCCTGTGAGCATTCCAGCTGCCATGCATCCCTGTGAACACATCACCAACCATGCATTCCTGTGAACACACAGGCTGCCGTGCATCCTTGTGAACACACACACACCAGCTAGCATGAATTCCTGTGAATCTGTGCTTAGTTCCCTCAAAAGTGTTTGCAGACACTCCAGATGATGCAAGAATGGGAGGAATGTTTCACTGCTGTCTTTCTCAGTGCTAGGACAAGCCACATGCCTCATAGGCATCAGTCTGGCACGGCTGGCTGTCTTGCAACATGCCTCAAGTTCCGGGGCAATTTCTGCAGGTGCATTGGCTCAAAGCAAGCAGGACAACAGCCACCAACAGTCACAGTACACAGCATCCTCTTGTGGAGAGAGCTGCAAATGTCAGGTGATCAGCAAACCTCCATCTCCATAGAGAGCCTAAGCAAGTCCTCTGTAGACAGTTTGCCAAGGTTGTTTTATGGGTTTGTAATGGGCGTATATGTTTTACAGAGTGTCTGATTTGAGTACTTACTGGGTAACATAATCCCCCAAGCACTATAGTCCCATGCTTGAGCGTTGCCATAGTTACTTGGTTTTGTTTTGGAAAAAAAAAAGCTGAAGAGGTTTTCCAACTTACCTTATCTCACTTTGATAACTAGATTCTGAAAAATAAAAGAGGGTGGGGAAGAAAAATCCCATTAGCCAAACGAGGACAGTGGTTCTAAAAGTAACTCTCATTAACTTTTATTGACTCTCTGACTTGACAAATCTCACTTTGACTCAGTTTGTATTCAGAGTAACCCTGCACTGAATCGGGAAACTACTAAGGCCAAGGAAAACTGGTTCAGTATCAGAAAAATAAACACTCTGTAGGTACTTGAAAGATAGTAGGTTTCCTTGTGCGCCCAGTGAATGCTGATTGAATTTGATACCTAGGTTCCATCGCCAAGAAGGACTCTAAGTAACTAAGCCAGCCACACTAGTCATTGGTTGCCTACTGTCTGCCAGCCGAGAAGAACCATGCAAAGCCTATCCTATTGCAACAGTGCAGGATATAGACACTAGTGTTACTCTGTTCTAACAAGAAAGACACCATGGTGCTGATGTATCTTCGTTCCTTAATACTAAGATCCATTTTCAATCAATTCTATATGCATGGACAATGTCAGTTCATATCATTATCACTACACACACAGCAACATCAACAAAGCTGCCATTCCTACCCTAGCCAATGGTACCAATCAATAGACTCTTGGACAAGGGGGAAATTCCAGAATCTAAAACTCCAAGCCACACACCAAGTCTCCCCAGTCGGCGTGCCAAGTCTGTGTTCTTCACATCTCCTAATCAGTCTCTGCTGAGGTCTGGAGAATATCACTTTCCCTTATTATCATTTTTTTAGGTAGTAGTCTCACCTGTTTTAAATTCTAATAACATCATCTGATTCAGGTCTCAAACTAAACTCAGAAACTCTTTTATCTGCATAGCCAAGAAACTCTAGTCTCCTTCCATCAATACCCCCTTCCAATGGTGGGATGAGCCACAAGTTCCCACTCAGGAGGGAATGCATACAGGATTTTGGGTCATTCTCTCCACACTGCCATTCCAAGGCCAATGAGCAGGATCAGCAGCATCCTCAGTCAGTTCTCAATTAACCAGAGACACATTGAGAATTCCTGGGTGCCAGCAAAGTTCCAGAAAACACTCCTAGCAGGGGGGGGGTATGCTTAATACATTTTATGGGTTGAAATTATGACATGCTGGAAAAACTCAGAAGGTCGCTGATTTTTTTACCTTTATGCTACTGTGTTAGTATAATTTCATTGAAGCCACATCTGACCTGGTGGTATAGGGCAAGAATTGTAAGTGGGTTGTGGCAGGCCTCTGTTCACAGACTTAGACTTGTTGGGACAACAGAGGGAAAGAAATAGCTCACTGGTATGAGCATTTCACCTTGAAATTTCATATGGGACAAAATCTAAGATGCATCGCAGAAATGCTTTTTTAAGGCAGGGTCTTACTATGCAACCACACTGGCCTGAAATTCAGCCAGGCCAGCCTCAAAATTGTGACAATCCTCCAGCCTCAGCTTCCTGAGTACTGGAATCACATGCATAAGCCACTGCTCTTGGCTCGGGACTCTTAATTCACATTTTTAATTTTTATAACTAATCTATAGGATGGCATTTACATAAAAGCAAACTAAAAAAAGGAAAAGGAATCACTCAGGCTATTTATAGAACAACACCCACCCACTAACCTTCTTACCGGGCTAATGTGGGGCAGACAGGAGCCTCAAAAAAGGAGAAAACCTCAAACATCAGAACTTCTCCACCAATCCCATGAATGCTACGTCAAGAATCCCCAACTGAAGGCCCTGCTCAACCCATAGTACCTTCTTGACAACATGGAAGACCATTTCAACCATTCTAATTTAAAACTCAGTACAAAATTCTCATCTTGAATTCATAGGCTTTCACTGGTCTGTCTCCAATTCCACTTTCCAAGGAATAAAACTAACCCCCAAATCAAAGTCTGATCCATGAAGGAGCTACAGCCAGACCCCATCCTTAGGCTAGATCACGGGATTTACCTGGCATGTCTCGCTGAGAGAGATATCAACGGAGAACAGTCAGTAGATCACATCTGGAGGGCGCGCGCGCACGCGCGCGCGCACACACACACACACACACACACTGTTCACAAATTTAACAAGGCAAGTCAAGTGACAGGCACCCAAACATCAAATCTCAGCTCTTACAAAAAAAATAATAATTTAACGGTAGAAAGTGTTCAAGTCAGAGAAAAGACAAAGATTCAGCACTTAGAGAGCTCTGGGCTGTCACCTGTCAAATCATGTGACAAGTTTCGACTGCCAAACTCTGTAACAAACCCCCTCATTCCAGACCCCAGCCTCCAGACCAGTGGCAGCTTCCACATGGCTGGAAGTGTCTCTCGGCTGGCTGACTCATTCACCTGACATGAGCAACATTCCCACTAGCCTAGCGTGTGCCTTGTTTTCCTTTTTATCTCCACAGTCACCCTCACCCTGCCCTGGGACATTTTTTTTAAACACCACAGAATAGGAAAGGCGTGTTCTAATCAATGTTGTCCTAGAAAAGCAATTGTGTGTTAAAGGACATGTCACCAGGGCTGTCTATCCTTGCAAACAAGTTCAGAAGTCAAGAAACCCAGGTCTCTGCAAGAAGGTCTCATTCGCCACCTTCTCCAAGGTGGGTCAGTCTGGTCCCTGGATGGGGTTCCCTGGGCCCTAGGGGAACGCTGTCTCTTTCCTACCCCCTACCCATGGTTCCTGTCAAAGACTGAAACCCTTGCCTCTTAGTGTTATTTTTACTTTGCTTAGCATCCCTGTTACCTCTGTCTCAGCTCATTAAGGCAGAATAGGAGTGAGATATATATACACACATATATGTGACAAGTTGATGTGAGTAGGCATTGGGAAATTACTAGATGAAGCCGATACATATAATCATCATTCCATGCATGAATCACTTTCTAACGGAAAATAAAATAAAAAAAACATTAAAAGATCTATTTTCAAGCTGCGATACATTACGACTAAAACAGGTCTCCAGAACACACTCGCTCTGCGCAAAGCCTTGTATCCTGTAACCAGCATGGCCCCAGTCCCTCATCCCTAACTCTGGAAACCACCAATCCACTTTGCTTCCGTGTGTCCAACTGCTGAGTATGCCACAGGCATGCAAGATCCCACCACACTTGTCTTTCTGTAACCCACCCATTTCTCCTAATGTATTCAGTTTCATCGCGTCGTCCCACATTAGCAGGATTTCTACACTTCAAAGGCTAAATGGTATCCCCTTGTGTGGATAAATGTTAAGTGTGCGTGTACAGATGTGTGTGTTCATATACGTGTTTGTGTGTTCATGTGTGCACATGTACGTACGTCTGTATTCATGTGTGCATGCATTGTACTCATGTGTGTACATGTGTGTGTATGCATGTGTACATGTGTGCATGTGTGTTCATGTGTGTGCGTTCATGTGTACTCGTGTGCATGTGCATGTGTGCATGCATGTGTACATGTGTGCATGTGTGTTCATGTGTGTGCATGAATGTATACTCGTGTGTGTACGTGTGTGCATGAATGTGTACTCGTGTGTGTACGTGTGTGCACATGTGTGTGCATGCATGTGTACTCGTGTGTGTACGTGTGTGCACGCATGTGTGCATGTGTGTTCATGTATGTGTGCACGCACATGTGTGTAGCACTGCCATAACAAGTCATCAGTTGATGGGATGGGCCCTCAGCCTGTTTTGATATCCTACCTATCATGAACTGCTTTGCAGAGAAATGGGAGGGCCTGTGTCTCTGAAACACTTGTTTCGCTCCCTATGGATATTCAGCCTGCAATGGGACAGCTGGGTCACACGCAATTCCACTTCTAGTCTCTAAAGAACCTCTATGCCATTCCCTGTGGTGGCCATGCCCGTTCACACTCCAGCCAACAGTGTGTACGCTTCCCTTGTTGGCTCTTGTCCTTTGCCCATGTGATGATAGCCATCTGCACTGTGACATCTCACTATGGTGAAACTCATCGTTCAAGGTAGATAAGCTCACTTCAACGGCCTGTGCCACAAGTTCTAAACCCCACAGCAATGCATATGGGGCGAAAAAAGATACCTTCTTTTTCTCTCCTGCAGACACCGCAGCAGCAGAATACTACAACCAGGGCGATGACCAGGATCAAGAGCAAGGAAAAGGCCACTGCCAGCAGGACGATGGCCCAGGTTGGCAGCGATGAACCAGTACTCTCTACGACTGCAAGAGAAAAAAAAAGAGCTTAGTGTAGGCTCTGTAGTGTAGGCTCACTGGTTCTAGTGGGATCTAAATGGCCTGTGTCTTCAATAATATCACAACTCTTCAGACTACTACAGCGGGGCATTCTCCGCTAACCTCCCTCCTGTGTGTTTAATGACTCAGTCCCCAACAGTATCTCCTATCCCAGTATCTATTGGCACAAGTAATTGCTTTGTAACCCAGGTCCAATTATCAGCTGGTTGAACCTCCCACATTCCTGAGAGCTGGGTAAGGGTGAGCCAGCAAGGGTGAGAGTCCTTATTATCATGCTGGGACAGCCTTTGGTTAGCCAAAGCTGTGGAGTAGAGAATGGTAAGTTCTGGCATCCATGTTCCTATGCTCTGTTATTACATAGCCCAAAGGTAGCAGGAGCGCCCTATGGGAGGGCAAAAGACCCTGGGTACACAGCTTTCCCTAAGGCCCCACTAGAGCCCAACACTAAATGCATTTCTTCTACAATTGTGAGAGCTTTCCTCGGGCCTTGTGGAGCTGATGTCGTTAGTACCTTACTTTGCCTTCTTATTTTATCCAGTAGGCATGAAGTAAGACAAAGGTAAGTTAAGGCAGAAAAAGCAGGGAATAGGAATGAAAATATGGAAGGAAATTTTTTTTTAAAAATGACCTTGGTTCTTTGTTGTTTTGTTTGTTTGATTTGTAACCATGTCTGAAGCGCTGACTTGCTAGCTTTTGGTGGTCATGTAAATTCAATTTTTCATTACAAATGTGCGTAATGAAATACACAGCTCCTTAGTTGTACTGCCTACATTTCAAGTGCCAGATCAACCCAGATGGAGCATTTCCACCATCCTTGAAAATCCTGGCTTGCTGGAAGAACATGGATGGTCCCCAGGGAGCCTTAAACACCTTTGCACACCTCTGTGCCCAAGCAGGAACCACACAGACACCCATGTTGATCTGTGAAACTGTTGAGTTGTATTCTACAAGGTCTGTCAGCCTGCTTCACTTGTAGCTCAGTGAAAATAAAGTGGAGGCTAGTCTCTAGGAAGTTTAAAATAACAGGCTTCTCGGAAGGAGCGTGGGGTTCACTTTGGAACCAGTGGCAGGGGAGGCTAATGGGGAAAAATCTCTCTTGGGAGCTCTCCCCACATAGAGTAGAATGTTTAGAGAGGATCACTTCTGCCCCTGTTCTGAGTCAAGAGTAAGCAAGAACCCAGGTGCATAAAAAGCCACAGGCAAGCAAAAGCCCAGACATATGAGAAGCCACAGGCAAGCCTAGAAAGGTGGCTTGGCAACTAACAGTACTTGCTGCTCTTGTAAAGGACCAGAGTTCTGCCCCCACATAGAGGAGTCCATAAATGCATGTAACTCCAGCTCCCGTGGGATCTGAGGCCCTCTTCTGCCCTCTGTGGGCATTGCACTCCTGTGTACACACACACACACACACACACACACACAAGATGCCAGGTGGTGGTGCCACATGCTTTTAATCCAAGTACCCCGGAGGCAGAGGCAAGTGGATCTTTTTTAGTTCAAAGCCAGCCTGGTCTATAGAGCGAGTTCCAGGACAGCCAGGGCTAGACAGTGAAACCCTCAAAGAACAAAAATAAAGACAAGTACAAAGAATGCATAGACTTGTCTGAAAACAAACCAGGGAACTGTATGAGCTTTGAAGAATCATATGACATCTTAAAAGACACCTGTTTTTTGCTCTTCGTGAACTGCTTCTATTTCTTTATTTCCTTCCAGAGAATTAGAAAGTGTTGGGCAGTTTTGATGATTTATTTATTTTTAACAGCTTACACTTTCTGTCATCCCAAACTGCTGCTGTCTCCATTTCTTCTTACACATCTTCTACTATCTAAACTGGTCCTAACTCCTTTCAAATCAAGTGCTGTGTATTATATTCCTTATGCTCCACATACCTGGGATGTACTCGTTAAGATGGATGAATGTGTCATGGACAATGGCTGGATAAATGACGGATGGGTGTGTGGATGAATAGATGGATAACAGAGAGGGGGATGGGTAAGTGGGTAAATGGTTAAATGGGAATACAGAAAGACGGGTGGTGGGTAGATGAGTGATAAATAGACAATGATGGGTGGATGGGTGGATGGGTAGGTGGCTGGATGGATGGACGGACTGATGGACGGACAGGTGGATTAAAAAGCTGAGTTCTTATCTGCCTCCTGTACTGGGAAGTCGACTACATTGAGGCAGGTCTAGACTTCTTCTTTCTCCCCAGATTGAGGTGTCCAGAGAAGAACTGCAGGATGTGAGAAGTCCAAGCTATTTTTCTAATGCCGTCTCTGGCCACCTCACCCAGTGTCTCTCTGACATAAGATAGGAAAGAGAGGGTGCACTACCCTACACAAAGAACTATAGGCATCTGGTGAATGCTGAGCAGGAAAAAATAGTCTTCCCCAGGAAAGAGCATGCAGAGCAGGCAGATTCAAAATCGCCTCCAGTGAGGCAGAGTCAAGTGGTCTGCAAAGGCCCTGCAAATGCTTCACTTGCAAGTGGCTGGTGACCCACACTTTGGGAATAGTATTCAGGCCACTCTGCCCCACTATGAGATATGTCTATGCTTCCCTCGGAGCTACATTCTTGACTCTCACAGCACAGATGAAAAGCAGACTTCTATCTACATGGGAGCCTCTCAGTTGCCAGCCACATTGGACTTCCCACCAGAGGACCTATTCCCTTTTGTGGCCCCTGTTTACTTTCTGGGTTGCCTTTGGCCTCTGGCTCATTTGCCAGTCACAAGTCTTGCTCTACCAGGTTGTTCTGACTCAAGAAATGTGTGTGAAAGTTTCTGAGGCAGGACTTGTGTGCGTACGAAACCTACATCAAGTTAGATGGACTCTTTCTCAAACCCGAGTTTGCAAACGTCACAAGTTTTCATGATAAGGGAGCTGACTAGGGCTAGAATGAGGCCCTGACTCCTGATATAAGAGAGAGGCTTGAATTCTCCCTACCAAGAACCACATGTTTATTGACTATGCAAGCATTCCCTGCCCACCACGGCCTCTCCCTCCTACTAGACATCCCAACCTTCTGCCAAACCAGGCTGGATCCAACAACCTTCCTCAACTGAGCAGAGCGTGCCAGCTTTCTCCTTGAGTATGCATGTGCATAGTGGGAAAGCTGCCTCTTGGGGCTGAGGACTGGGAATGGGGGACTTCGTGGTATCACTCACTGCCATCTTCCTTAACTCAGCCACCATGCCCAGCCTCGCTCAACAGCCCCACACTGAAACAGTGTGGGTGTCAGAACCCAGGTGGTTCATTTTCACTTCTTATTTGCTGTGACTGTTCTTCCCGGAAGCCCAGCCTTCCTCAGAACCTCACACCTCAGCTCAAGTCTCCTCTCTCAAATCTATCGTGGTTGAGGTCATCGGGAACCCTAAGTCACTACTGGAACTGCACAGGTGTCTTCTTTTAACAGTTCTTCACTTATCCCTTGTTACATATATGTGCATACATGTAGGAGGAAGCCTGTATGCCGCCATTAACCATGTGACTTACTAGAGGCGCATACAGATGAGGTAATAAAAGAGCAGTTTACCACACCGCTAACCACACCCACTTTAAGCATGACTAAAGAGATATACGGACGGACGTAAAGACATATACATATGTAGGCGGTGAACTACGTCACTAGCCAGGCCCACTTTTGGGCATGGCTAGGGGGCGTTACGGGGGAAGGCATAAAAGACAGCACAAAGGAAGTCTTGGTCTCTTTTCCTGGATTTCAGCTTTCGGTTCAGCAGCAGAAAACTATGGTATCTTGTGAGTAATTTCTACAATAAATACTTAGTTTTACTTTCAGTAAGTGTGCCTCTTATCGTTACAGCGTCGTTTGGAGCCTCACATACATGTGTTCCTCTACACGTATAAAATATGGGTTGATTTGTTTACTAGAAGGTCACAGGTGGGGCCGTCCTGTCCACTTGAAGATTTGGGCATGACCGGGTGCTATGCTGTTCTTTCCTCCCAATGAATTATCCCTCTGGGACAAAGAGAGAAGATCACAACACTCAGAAAGGTGAGGGAAGTTGCAATACTCACAAGGTTCTTCCCAAAGGCTATATAAGCTGCAACAATTTCAGGAAAACCCTACAATGGAACGTCCTGCAAGCTAGGCAGGGAGTTCCAAGGATACAGTGCTCCTGAATCTTTTGAGTCATTCGTGCTCCTATAAGTAACCCCAATAAACTCCTTGGTACATCACCAATGTTTTACCTATCTGGAGGGAGTAAGTGTGGTGATACCTTTCTTGCACCTTTGGGTCAGAGAAGGAGCAAGCCACAGCACACTTTACCTCTTCAGCATCTCAGCAGAGAAGAGAGCAATTTCCTGTTTGCCCCTGCTTCTATCCTGTCTGTCTGTCCAGACCTCCACACCTCTATGGGTAGATAGTGGCAAGCCCCATTCTCTGACCCCCGGGCAGGCTTTATTTGTGCAAGAAAGATATCACCATAAGTAAGCATTCGTTGACATCTCCCCCCAACACATGACGAAGGGGCTTTGCTTTCTAACATGGTTGTCTGCTACCCTGCAGGTTTCAGTAACTAGGAAAGTTGGGTTTTCTGTAACTGAGAAACCAGCTCTGAGTGCAAGCATTGGCTTCCCACGTGACTGCTTCAGAGGGGCTTCTGCTCTCTAGAGCATAGCATTCTTTGTGACCTGAGTCTGTTAGGCTTCCCAAGCTCAATCTAAGAAGCCTTGCAGTGCAGATGTGGGCACAGAATTGACATCCCCATCCTCTCGGGAGTCTGGAAACTCTCACAGGGAGCTCACCTCTCCACCCTCCACGAACTTGACCCCAGCTCCTCTAACTTGACAGCCAAGGTTGAATGAGGTCTGCAGCTAATCAAACTTGCATAAAACACACAACATGGAGCCAGATACCAGCTGCTCTGATCTTGATGAATAATTTAGAAACGAATTACCCTTTTGCAAATGAGTCCAATAAAGCAAGGCTCATTGCTGCCCACCCGCAGAGCCTTCCTTCCCAGCCCTCGGGCCTGCGGCTGCGGTAATTAAGGTGCAGTCCCAGTTAAGGAAGAATTGACTGATTGGGGGTGGGGGGATGAAGCGCCCTTCCCCTTCCCCCTTCAGAAGACGGCAGAGAACTAATCCGTAAAGATTCATTTCTAGAAGGGGCCATCTATCAAGCCGGAGCACCATGCTACCTCGTTATCTAGGAGAGATGTGGGTTTTTCAACTGTCAGTTCTGGCCTATTTGTTGCCAACAGCAATTTGTCTTTCAGTCTTCCCGGTCAATGGCTGGACCAGATTTCGTTGTGCCTAAGAAGCTTATAGGAGAGCTGGGTTGGACATGGGCAAAGCAAAGTGGATAGGAGGCATCTGATTGGGCAAGAGCCCAAAAGCTAGTAAAAAAATGTCAGAAGGACACCTGAGGGGTGGGGAGGGAAACCCCGGACCAAGCTGAGCATCAAGAAGAATAAGGGCAGGAATAGATTATAATGGACAGAGCAAAACTGAATGCTTACGAGAGAGATAGGCAGGCAGACAGAGAGACGAGACACGGATAAACACATGTGAAAATGAAGTTTGGGGGTTAGAGAGCTACCTCTACGAGTCAAGGAAGACTGAAATAAGAAACAGGAACTGAAGAGAGAGAGATTCCTCCCCCCCCACCCGCTCCGCCGCCTCCCTCCAGGACTCCCTTCCTCTTCCATAAGAGGGATTTGCTGTGAGTCTCCAGGGCTCAAGTGACTGGAGTTGCAGTCAGTAATAGATCCCTTACCTGGCACATATGAGTCCCTGGGTTTATATGCCCAGGACCACCCTTTCCTCCACCAAAAAATAAAAATAAAAGACAAATAAATCTTCATATCCTACCACATCACCAATATACCCCTGAACCCCTGCCCATGCCAGCTCAGAGCTCACAGGCTCCACGGGGCCCTTTAATGAACCAGGTTAGCATTTCTGCTATGTCACAGTATATTCTTCTGGGAGATAACACGATGTGGGATACCCCTCTGTATGCTGTGAATATGTTTCATTACCACTGGTTAATAAAGAAGCTGATTTGGCCAAAATGGCCAGGCGGAGTATAGCCAGGCGGGAAATCCAGAGATACAGAGAGAAGGAAGGCAGAGTTGGGGGAGACACCATGCAGCCTCCGGAGAAGGAAGATGCCAGAACATTACCAATAAGTCACAGCTACGTGGTGATACACAGATTAGTGGAAATGGGTTAATTTAATTGCGAGAGCTAGTCAGTAATAAGCCTGAGCCGTCATCCCAACAGTTTGTAATTAATATTAAGCCTCTGGGTGCTTATTCGGGAACTGGGAGGCAGTTACAATTACAAAAAAAAAAAACTTTAAACTGTTGCCATCTAGTCAAGTTAAACAATAAGATGCTGTTTTGGTTTTTCAAGACAGAATCTCACTTCATAAACCAGGCTTCCCTAGAACTCATTCCATAGCCCAGGTTAGCCTAAAACTCTCAGCAAGCCTACTGCCTCAGCTCCTGAGTACTAGGATTATAAGCATTAGCCACCACACCCAGCTATATTTTTGAAAAACATTAAGTATTTGTCTCTGACCCTGCTGCCTTCTTATATAAGTGGTGGGCAGGGCCTTTCAATGGTTCATTTGCAACTAGGAAAAAAAACTCTTTTCAATGGTTCATTTGCAACTAGGAAAAAGAAAAACTCTCAAGAAGGAATTGTAAGAACAGGTGATATCATAGACTCACTAAGTTCACAGCACTGGATTTACCTCATTACCCTCTCCACCCAACATCCAGGTCATAGTCCAAGTTGGTCATGTATAGATATAGTGACCAAGAGCCTGACCCTCCCATGAACTGGGAATGGTTACTCCATAGCTTTCTGGCTGGCGATGCTCACTTACCAGGTGGTGGCCGACCCACAGTCAGGTTGACAGTTAAGGACTTGCTGGCCTGCAGGTTCTTCAGCTCTGCCACACAAGTCAAGGTCCCATTGCCCAGCGGTGTGAGAGCCAGGATACTCAAGGCACTCGTAAAGTTGCCCGGTTCCAGAACAGAATAGTAGCTGGAATTGATTACCGGGACCTCAAGCTCCCAGGAAATAACTGGGAGTGGGGTCCAGCCCAGGGCATAGCAAGTCACATTACAGGGTTCACCCTTTGTGACCAGAAGGCTGTTGCTAGGAATGTCCAGGGTCCCCATAACTAAAGAGAAGAGAGAAACAAGCTAAAGTATAACAGCCTCCTGATTTTCCCAGTGTTAGCTTCAAATTACATCTCATGAGACTTTCTTCCCAGGCCCCAGGAAGGCTGTGTCTGTCCCAGGAAACCGCAGTTCAGATTTCATATGCCGTATCTCTATGTGCATGCTGGGTTATAACAAGGAGGTGATGTGTCTCCCGGGAATAATGAGAAATAAAAGTCAATGACCTCTAGCATGGAGCTAAAGGATTCTCTTAGGCAGTCCTGGAAACAGAAGCAAAGCAAGAAACAATCTGTATTCTTTTCCCAGAGACTCATAAATAGCAAATCTCTTCCCTTAACTTCGAGCCAATCACCTTCATTTTATAATTTGGAGTCATGAACTTTTTTTTTGTCTTTTGTTTTGTTTTGAGACAAAGTCTCATGTAGCCCAAGCTGGACCCAAAGGTGGCTTCGGACGCCAGATCCTCTTGCCTCCAGCTCCCAAGGGCAGAGAAGACAGGCACGTGCACCCAGTAGTAAACTTTCAAAGAAGAACTGCCTTGGATATTCCGTTAAAATCCATTTCTAGTTACAAATTACGTCAAAATTAAATCAATTATGAACTGAATTAACCCAATCAAGTTTCAGAATTATTGACTTTGATCAACATTTCCTTAAAGAGCCCCCCCACCTTGCCAGCAGCAGCATTTGCACTGCAAGGAAGTCATCCGAAAATGATGTTCACTTGTGCTGACATTACCAAAGTAACCTGAAGGTTGGCCCCGGCAAAGACACAGCCTTAGTGACATTCATATACATTCAAATGTTCAAATTCAAACATGCTACGGGGGCACCGCCCCCAGCCGCTTGAGATAATGGAAAGAACACAGGACTGAGAATGGAAAATTCTGCTCTCATTCATGGCTCTCCTCAGCACAACTCCAACACTCAGAGGAAATCACTGAAACTTGGGGTCTCTGCATTTTCTGTCTCTAAAGGGGATAATTTGGCCAGAATACATGATCTTCAAACACTTCAGCTTCAATTCCTCTTCCAAGGCCACCAGAGACTCCAAAGAACTTCCTTTGTGTGGATAGTAGCTACGTAAGTTGTTCCAAAATATTTACTTAAAAATAACAACCGTAGCTCATCACACGTTGATGTAATGAACACATTTCTGTTAAACTGTATTTTTAAGCTAATTAAAAAAAAAAAACCAAGTGGCGATGTTTACCTATGCAACTCTCTGTCATGTTAAGCTAGATTTCCAAGCAGGCAGCTTCATTTGTATGCTACGGGATTGATTGCTTTGTTTGAAGGGTATGGAAAGATCTCTGACCTCCCACAGAAGTGCAGCTACAACAGCACTTTGACACCAGGCCAAAACTCAAACAGGAGTGTTTTCTTGAAGGTAAGCTCACTGTAGAACCTGAAACCACAATGAGGGCTTTCCCTCTATCTAGACCATGGTCCTACCTGGCACTTGGCTGGATGTTTGCCCTTGTGTGATTGTTTCTATCTCTATACTCGAGCACGTGGGCCGTGCTGGCCTGTGGCTTAGAAGATCTTTCCAGTGTGCAGCACGAAGCTCCCTGTGCACGCAGGAGAATGGAACTGGAGAGGTCTCCAGCACGTCAGCCTCCTCTCAGGCCATTACAAGAAGCCATGCCCTGGAGTCTGGGGAGGACCAGAGTAGCTCTGCTGTGACTCACTCCGAACCGTCATACTTCCTGGATGCTATCTTAGAACAAGTAAGGTGTCTGTGCTAACCTGAGCACTCTTGTGACAAGGAAGAGCGCTGTCTGAGGAGGAGGTCTAAGATTATTTATTGAATACAGGAGGTTACTCACAGGGAGATGGGAGCTCTAGGAACGTGGCTAGCCCTCCAGACGCCTCCGTAGGTAGTCACTTGCTGCCAAGCCTAGTACCATGAGTTTGAGACCTGAGACTCACGTGGTGGGAAGGGTGAACCAACTCCCACAAGTTATCTTTCGATCATAAACACACTGTGGCTCATGTGTGCATGATGGCAGGGCCTAGGAGGGATGGAGCTGCCTCAGATAACGGCAGAGGGGCGTGAGCTCAGGTCCTTCTGGCCCCCCGAAAGCAAGAGTGCATCGTACGCATGTGTCAATGGCAGGTTGGGCAGCAACTGGACCAGTGTAGCCGTGTGGAGGGTTTTCTGTGTGTGCAGCTAGGGTTCAGCTTTTCCCAGCCTCTCTTCCCCGCAGTGGAGGAGGCTTTAGCTGGCTTATCCGCTAACGTGACCAACACATCATCCAAAGCAGTCACTAGAACAGCCACATGGGTGTGAGAGGACTCACGCTGGAGTTGCATCTGCTCTGTTGAAAGTCGGGAAGGAAAAGTGGGCCTTGGATAATTTGTGGGCATTCCCTCCTTCTCCAAGATTGTGTTCCTGGGGAAGGTGCGCTTAGTGTTCCTGGGACAACAGTGTGGCTCTGCCCCCACTCCTGTCCTTATGCAGGACCCCGGAGAAAGCTTCAATGCCCTGGACGCTTGGTCTTCTCTCCATATTAAACCAAAAGCTTCTATAACCACAACTGCATCGAGAGCATGCCAGAGGTATTCTGACAGATGTGCGGGCTTAGGGCTCTGGGAAACACTTCAGAACTGTGTGCAGTTTTCAACTGTGCATGCCATGAGCCCAGGAGTACGAAGCCCCTCTCTTACAGCCCCCGAATGGCCTTTTTCTACTCTCTCAGAGATGCCCACACACACACATCAAGAAAACACTATCTATGGTCTTTAAAAGTGTGTCTCTGAGGGGCTGGAGAGATGGCTCAGCGGTTGAGAGCACTGGCTGCTCTTTCAGAGGACCCAGGTTCAATTCCCAGCACCAACCATGGCAGCCCACAACTGTCTGTAACTGCAGTTTTTCATGGGACCTGACACCCTCACAGGACACATATGCAGGCAAAGCATCAACGCTCATAAAGTAAATGTCTCTCTCTGATGATCTGCTGTCCTGAAGCTGTGTGGGATGCCTGTGGGCGTGCATGTGTGTGTGTGTGTGTGTGTGTGTGTGTGTGTGTGTGTGTGTGTGTGTGTGTGTGTAGAGGCCAATATTAGGTGTCTTCCTTAACCATTCTTCATTTTATTTTTTTTGAGACAAGAGTCTCCCACTGAGCCTAGAGCTCACCAACTTGATTAGTCTGGCTGTCCAGCAAGCCCCAAGGACCCGCCTGCCTCCACCGGCTGGAATTACAGAGTGCACAACCACACCCAGATTTCCCACTTGGGTTCTGGGGGGGGGGCGGGAATCAAACTCACACTCTCATGTTTGCATAGCAAACGCTTCACCAACTGAGCCAGCCCTCTTCTATTCATCTCCGGGTCCTACTGAGTACCTAGAATAGCATCCTTTTTCCAGGAATTTGAAGGGGAAAAAGAGTTTGTGTGGTAATTTCTATGAGCCAGACACTATGGTAAAGGCTTTCTATTGACCCACTCACCCCATGCTACAACAGCCTTTGGATGAGCAACCCAGAGCCAAAGTCATTGTGTGCTTTGCTAAGATCATGCAACTCTGAACAACAAAGACAGAATGGAAACCCAGTCAGCCAGGTTCCCAAGCCCTCCCTTCTGGGCCACTCTGGATGCCCGGCTGGATACACACCAAGCTAAATGGAACAAAGCTTTGGAGTTTTTGGTGGTTTTGTCATCTGATCCTCACAGCAAATGTGTGAGCTAAGCAGAGGAGCCTCCTCCCACCTTACAGAGCAAGGAAGAAACCAGTGCAGGGGATTTCCCTGGCTGACAACTGACAGAGGCAAAAGAAGAACTCATGTCCTGTGTTCTTCCCATTATAACTGAATTACTATCAGAGAACCTGGGCGTGCAAACTGGGCCAAGAGTTCTAGGTAATATCACTATACCATTAATTAAACTGCAAAAATTAGAGATACCCCCAAAGTAAAGAATCGCCAGTTTAATTCAATTTCTAAAGTAGAAAATAATGTTTAAACACAAATTTGTAGACATGCTTTTCCCACCAAATAGTATCACATTTGATTTGACAACAGACAGAATCTGGGATTTCACTGAGGTGAGGAAGTATGTAGATATAAGTAAATAATCTCAAAAGCATAACTTGTCCTCAAGAGAAATGCTGTCACAGAAATAAGAACTCCATAAAGCTGGGGACAAGGCTCAACTCAAAGGGAGAGCCCTGGATAGAGACCACATGGACCTGGGCTTGATCCCCAACACCAGGGAAAAAGAAAAAAAACACACCCTGATAGGAAATTGTAATCCACTAATCACAACCCCTATCAATAATATATAAACTCACTTTCAAAAAGTATAAAGGAGTTGTGATTTGGGTAAAACTCTCTAAAGCATCATAAAACACATCCTTTTGCCTTTCTTATTGTGTAATGATCTTCGGGAGACCAAATTACCTTTACAGATGAAAAAAAATGTTAGGGTAGTATAGCCTAGTGTCTACCCTTTCCTCTCAAAGGCATGGTGTATTTGACTGTAACAGCTATGATCACCAGGGCAAAAAAAAAAAAGATCCATCTACGTCCGAAGAAGAGCTCCAGGAGATGGTTTCAGAAAGGCAATTTACACACCTAGACACCAGAGCAGATTAGATGGGGAAGCAAAACCCGTCTCACAGTGGGAGAGGAGCAGACAAGTAAAGAGAACCTAACAGCAAAGAAGGTAGGGGATATAAGCAAAGGAGAGGAAGGGAGGTAGAGAAGGAGAGGGAGGGAAGGACAGAGGGAGGGAGGGGAGAAGAGAGGGAGGGAGGGGAGGAGAGAGGTGGGGAGGAGGGAGTCATAAGCTAAGGCAGCATTCTCTCGGAATGTTCAGAACAACGAAGTCTAGACTTTGCATGCAAGCAGGACGCAGGGATGGAGGGAACTTAACAAAAAAAGCACAAAGCTGCCATCAGTTAAGAATCGCAATAGGTACCACCATACCTGAAGGTGGACCCCAAGTGTCATGACACAGCTGTGAGCCTCAGAGGGACCCCCGGCTGGCTCACCTTGCACTGAGAGGAAGGCAGATCGAACCACGTTGCTGTTCTGCAGGCTACACTGCACAAGCCCCGAGTCGCTGGGCTGCACATCGTGGATGATCATCTCGGAAATGAAGCTGTCGCTCCCGTTGTAATTGACGGAGGTGAAGCGCTCGTTGGTGATGATGGTTTCCTGGGAAGTGATACTCAGCTCCACAACACCGTTGAGGGACCACATGATAAGCTTCCAGCCATGGGTCACGGTGCAGTTGAAGCGAGCCTCCGAGCCCTGCAGGACTGTCACATTCTGAGGACCTTCTGTGATCTCATAACTGGATCCAGGAGCTAGAAGGCAACCAGATTTTCAGGGCAGTAAATCAACTAGCTGGCATACGTCAATGACGTCATCCAACCCTTCTTGCCAACTGTCACGCTCTCGGTGTCCATCTGAAGGCTCAGCCTCTGTGTCATGTTGGTCCTGAGGTCTGGGGCCAGGGCTGCTGGTAGATGCATGGCCAATCGACTCACCCTTCCACTCTGCCTCTACATGGGCAGCACTAACTTGAACACCATTGCCTAGAAGTTCCCAGTCACCCAACGCCACAAAATGTGGCATCTAAAACAGAGTTTCTACAGACCTACCTTGTCAAGGGTCCTAACATGAAATCATCCTGGATGCAGGATGGACCTCAAGTTCAAGCCCATGTTCTTTTTATAAAAAGACAAAGGCAGAGGAGTCTGAGATGACAGGGACACACACGGCGGGAAACTCCATGTGAAGATGGGAACTGGGACTCAGGTGATGTCTCGTGCATGGAGAAAATAACGCCAAGGGTTGCCATAGCCAGCAAGCAAAGATAGGTGACCTTCCGTGTATATGTTTCTCTTATTGGCTGGCGAATAAAACACTGTTGGCCAATAACGCAGGAAGACAGGTGGGACTAGGAGATGAGGAGAATTCTGGGAAAGGTAGGCAGATACTGGGAAGAGAGGGCACACCGGTAAGTCAAGACCACGTGGAAATACATAGATTAACAGAAATGGGTTAACAGTTAAGACAGAGCTAGCCAATAAGAAGCCCAAGCCACTGCCAACAGTTTTATAACTAACATAGCATCTGTGTGTTCATTTGAGGCTGAAGGGTGGCAGGACCAGTCGGGACAAAGAACCCCTTGAAGCAGATAGGGAATCCAAGTCTCCTCCATAGCCTCCAAAGGGGACCTGTCCCGTTCACGGGACACTCAGGACTTATTGCCACAGCAGTAGGACTCAGACCCAAGATTGGGCCTTGCTGCCCTGAGTGGTAGACTCTTCCCTGGCTCCCGTCACTCAGGAGACCCACGGAAACAACACATGCCCTGGTTTCTGTTTACTCCAGCCCATCGGTCAGGATGGGTTACCTTGGTGTTCTACAATCCCTGTGGGTCAACATGCTAGCCCTCCATGTACGGGAGGGGAGGGAGCAAATGACAGCCATTCTCCTCTTCTCACATTGAAAGGCAAATGGGAGACAGTCCCTAAAGGAAACCGATAAAGGTGAGACGGTCCCTAAAGGAAACTGATTAGTGTCCTGAACGTTCCCGGGGCATGAGCCAAAAACAGCACCTCACGATCACCCAGAGTGAATTGTGAGTCAGAGCTTCCTTGTTCAGGAACTCACAGATGGAGAGAAGGATTTTGCATGCACCACTGTATGAATGATCTTTAGGAGCCCATTCCAAATTGAGGATGCTCTCTCAGCCTGGACTCATGGGGAAGGGCCTAGGTCCTGCCCTGGATGAAATGACAGACTTTGGAGATCCCCCCCCCCAAGGAGGGCCTTACCCTCCCTGGGGAATGATGTGGGGATTGGGGGGGGTTGGGAGGGCTGGTGGAGGGACAAGGGAGGAGGGGTAGGAGAGGGAGCTGGGATGGACATGTGAAGCATTCACGTTTCTAATTTAAATAAAAACATATATTGAGGGAGAAAATAAACAACTTCTGCTCCTCCTGCCTCCAGCTCCTGGGTACCAGAATTAACAAGCATGAGCCACCACACCCCAGCGTGTGGTTCTGGGAAACAAACCTGGGGACATATGCATGCTGGGTGAGCACTCTACCACCTGACCTTTCATTGAAGCAGGAGACAGTGAGCCTTAAGCACGGTCCCCTGCCAAGTGCAGCTCGCTCTGGATCCACCAACCGTGCTCAGCTGCACCTATAACAAGGAGCAGGTAGCCACGGTACCTTGGTCCTTCCTCGGCGATCCATCAGTTGTGGAGGCCACGGGTGACCTTGCCCCACACAAAGCAAACGCGAGAAAAACCCTTGAAGATACACCTCTACTCGGTCAGCCACATAACCTCCGCTCTCACTCCCCTCTCCTCCACTCTCTCTTTTCCTGGAGAGGATAATGGGATGGGATGCAGAGAAAAGTCAGGGTGTCCCCCACCTGGAAGTTTTCTGTAGGGGTTACACAACGATCCCGGGGTATCTGCTGTCTGCAAGATTCCTTGAGGAGTTTCCTTTCCTATAAGGCTTATGGGACCCGCCCCTCTTCAGCTGGCAGAGCTGCCCTCCAGAGTGTGTCTGTAACTGCCCTGCCACCCTTGAACTTGAGCGGGGGGAAGGGGGGAGGCTTTTCTTCCCACTCCCTAACCTGACGTTACTGCAGTTTTGTTTTGTTTGGTTTGGTTTGGTTTTGGTTTGGTTTTACAAGACAGGGTTTCTCTGTATTGTTTTGGAGGCTGTCGGTCCAGCCTGGCCTCGAACTCACAGCGATCGACCTGCCTCTGCCTCCTGAGTGCTGGGATTAAAGGTGTGCGCCACCACCACCGGGCGTTAATGCAGTTTTAATGGCTCATGTGGAACGGGGCTAGACGACCTCATGCTGAGCCTCTGAAACTGACCCTTGAGCTGAGGATGCAGTTCAGTCAGGACGGCACTTGCTATACAAGCATGAGGGTCTGGGTTTAACCCCCAGAACCCACATAGTATGACAGTTCATGTTTGTAGTTCCTGCATTGAGGAGGTGGAGACAGGAAGTTTCCCTGGAGCTCACTGGCCAGGCAGCCTACCCAAAGCAGCAAGACCCAGGTAAAACCGAGACACTTTGAGTCTCCAGAAGACAAGGTGGATAACATCCTGGAGAATGGCACCCCCCAGCATGACCTCCACGCACATGCACACGCATGCACCCCCACACAAACACGCGTGATGGAAGCAATCCCCTTGACGTAAGAAACTTCACAGTCTATAATCACCGCCTCTCCGTTTTCCTAGTCCAGTGTGGCTCCCCTCACTCTCTTCTCTTCACATCATTCTACAGCTGCCTCTTTCTTACTTGGCCCTTTGTAGTGAACGGGAAAGCAGGCTGGACGCCCGGCTAAAGCTGGAAAGAGAAACAAGGGATGGAGAGAAGAAGGCAGAGAGAACTGCCTCGGCGATGGGCCTTCAGACGGAGAGAGAATCAACCATGTTACGTGCTGGGACCCACTGAGGAAGAGTAGAGTCAGAAAGAGGAGATCCTGAGAAGAGTGGCCAGGCAGGTCTGAACTGTCTGCTGAGCTTCTGGGAGGGTGACAGAAAAAGCCAATGTCACTTTCTGGGCCATCAGCTGCACCAAAAACATCTCTGCACATGTAGCCTAGAGGAGCATCGCAAAGCAGGTAACTGTTTGTGTATGCCATCCCCACCCTGCCTCCACACTCCAGGTAGACCAGATATCCCTTTGCACTCATCCCCCCCCAACCCCCCAGCAACTTTCTCTGCCCTCAGTTTATCCCAACTCTACCCTGGGGCCACTGAACCTTCTCAAAGCACCAAATTTATTGTCTTTCTGGCCCAGGGCCTTTGCACATGAACAGTTTGGAATCTAGTCTCACTTGCTCCTAAATTCCTAGCCGAGTCATATGCCCTGGGGGTTCAAAGCAACTAACTGTCACAATAGTGACTTTTTTTGCTTTATGTTTGTCTTGTCCTCACTCAATGCTTGTTTGTCCTCCTAGGCTCTAAGCTCTGGTGCCTATGCCTCAACTATGTGACATATAACAGGGGTTCAACAGACATTTTCTGAGCAAATAAAAGAGGGAACCAAGACCTATGTAAGTCATGAGATTATGGGCAAGGTAGGGAGCAGAAAGGAGGGGATGAGAAAGGAGAGGAGAGGAGAAGAGGAAAAGGCTTGGAAGAACCCTGTGAGCATGTAGAGCTAAGTCTGTAAGTGACGACGATTCAACTAGTCACAAGGACTTTCCTGGATGAAATATCTAAAGGGTTCAGTATCATCACAAATTATCCCTGGGAACTCTAAAACTAGCCCATGATACTCTGCCTCTTGCTGCAGTCATCTTCGAACTTCAAGCCAGATCCATCTTGACTCAGACCAGTACTTAATGCTCAATATCCATAAATATATATATAATGATTATATATCTATTTCTGACTTTATATATATATATATATATATATCATTCAATTCTCTCCAGTCTTTAAAAGATCTTTGTAACCTCAAAGTGCCCCTAAAGTGTGGATTAAGGGTGGCCCATCAGACCCAGGCCCAGTCCCTAAACTGTTCCCAGACCTGATTTTCCTCTCCACTCTACTGAGCAGTGTCCAGTGGGCCCCAGCAGTAAGCTTCTAACTGCGTGCCGTTAGACCTTCACCTCTGGACTCCTCAGTCAGGTATTCCTAGACTTCCCATGCAAGTACACCCAAAAATGGGACTTCACAAGCCTGCCCATCCGATATCTTGCTGCTTCCTAGTCTGTTTCACTTCCATTAACACTGTCACGGCCAGGCTTTTAAAGCTCGGTGTCTATCCATGCAGAACAGAGCACACAAGCTTCTGAACATGGCCACCGACACACGGTTGGCAGAGAGGAGGGACAGGTAGAGCTGTTCATCGGGTGTTCTTGTCCCCAGGTTGATCACAAGGATGACTGGGTTTGTGACAAGCTGCCCAGGGTACCTTGGCCTGCAAGTGTCCCGGCATTACTTCTACTCTGCAGCTACAGCAAGCCTTCGAGTTGCCATAATAGGAGAAACAGAGACATGAGAAGCCTGGCCCCAGAACTAATTAAACCCAACAGACGCCAAGGACTGCCAGACCTTCAGAGTCAGCCCAGCCCACTCCACATGGAGTCCACCCCAGCTGGTGCCCTGAAGGACTTCTGTCGGCAAGGCTGTGGTGAGAAAAGAGGGGCCACCTTCTGAGGCTTGGGGATCACACCACAGACATCACCCAAGTCAAGCAGACACGGACAGGAGACACCTGAGCCAGCCTTTCCTTGAAAGATACAGAGAGACGGAAGAGGGCAGAAGCGAGTGGGAAAGACGTCTCAAACAGTGAAACAACTCATGTGACGACCTCAGGTACCTAATGGGGTAAGGAGGAATGTAAAGAGAAGCCTTCCTGCCAGCCTGGTTCTAGAGCCGCATCAGTCCCAAATAAACACACAGGAGGCTGTATTAATTATGAAGCTGTTGGCCTTGCTTGTTTCTTACTGGCTAGCTCTGACTTAAGTATTTATCCCATAATTGTTAATCTAAGTATTTCTCTTACCGGAGCAAAGTTCCAGACATCTTATTTCTCTGGCGGGCTACATCATGACTCCCTGTGTTTCTGCTACTCAGAGTCCTCCTGGACTCCTAGTCCCACCTATCTTGGTTCCCTATTGGCCAACAGTGCTTTATTGACATATACACAGGACTTCCGCATCAGAGGAAAAGTCCTAATGGGAGCTATGTGGGGTCAGAGGCGCTGAGGGGACCTTCTTGGGGTAGAGTTACAATAACAGGAATGAGAGATCTTGAAAGGGTAACTATGAGATAGAGATTCAGGGGAGTGTCTGAGGAGGACCACCTGGAGGGAGTGTCTGAGGAGGACCATCTGGAGGGAGTGCCTGAGGAAGACCACCTGGAGCCTACACTGCTGCATCTCCTGCTCACCCTTCCTCCCTCCCGCCCTGCCTTTTGAAGCCTGTAAACAACAGTCCACCCACCCTCGGCACCTACCTGTCAGCCCAGCCAGGATGACCAGCAGAGCCAGGACACCTCTCCTACTGCCCTCCATCTCAGCATGATCTTCCTTACCTGAAAGACAAGGGAGCAGGTGATGTTTAGAGCCAAAAGGGTCGACGGCACCACCCAGACACTTTAGACACCTCTGGAGCGTCGCCATCTGGGCAGGCAGTGTTCCCTCAGAAGGTGTGTGTGTGTGTGTGTGTGTGTGTGTGTGTGTGTGTGTGTGTGTGTGTGTGTGTGTGTGTGTGTGAAACTGGACCTGGCCCCGTCGCTGTGTTCACACGGACCTCCAAGAGAAGAACTCTGGCTCCAAGAGAACTCCGGCGCAGCTCACCTCAGAGAAGCCCTGAAGCGCACGACCTGACCTGACCTCAAGCCCGTGCATGCACAGCTGACAGGACTCCAGCAGTGCTGGACGGCCTGGCTCAGAGTTGACTGGGAGTGGCTGCCTGCTCCTCGTTTCCACCTCCCCCCTGCCCGTCATGAGCTCACAACCTCACGAGGGAAGGTGGGACTCGGGCAAGCAGATGCCCTCGCGGAGGCGACTGGAAGGCGGCAAGGCATGGGGAGAGGAATGGAGCCAGGAAGGCGTGGGGCACGGGTGTGTTGGTCACCACGGCAAGCAGGTAGGTTGTGGACGGCAGCCATGTGCGAGCACGCGTGCTTGCTAGCCAGCCGAAGGAAGAAGAGCAGTGGGAATGGCAGGTGCAAAGGGCCCGGGCTAGAACCACGCTGGGCGTGTCTGAGGAACTACGGAGAGGGTCCCGGGTCGGGTGAGGGGTGAGGAGTGGCAGGGGTAAGGCTGAGGCAGATGCAGTGAGCTCCCGTTGGCCGTTTGGCGGCACCACGGGTTCCCCTTGGGTCCCACCCTCCTTCCAACCCCTGCTTCTCTGATGACCTCATGCTCGGCTCCGCACCGCACCCCACCCCCCATCCTTCAGTGTTTCCTTTTGTTTTCCCTCCCCCCCACCCCCGGCATGGTGGGTCCCACTGGAGAGCGTGGCACTGACTGGCTGCTCGCTGAAGCATCGTGAGCCACCTGCAAAAGCATAGCTCCTGCCCTGGGGACAGGATTTGTTTCCCAGATTCTTTCCCGGCACGCGTTTGCAGAGCAGAGACCACGCAGGGAGCTTCCGCCCACCGTGGCCTCCACAGACCCCACAGCCTGCTGACACCCCCACGCACGCACGCACGCGCGCGCGCGCGCACACACACACACACACACACACACACGCGCGCGCATGCGCGCTGCGCTGCGGTGGTCCCTCTAAGCTGAGCAGGTGCTGAATCCCCGCCGTGGGATTTCGTAGCATGCGGACACACCTGTCCAGCCCTCTGCTCTCCTTCCTTCTCTGCTGGGCTCAGAAGCACCACAGCCAGCAAAGGGTCCAAACCCGCAGAGGAGATGACTCCCTCCCAGAAATGAGAGTGTGAGTTTCCATTCCTGGGCAGCGAAGATGCTGAGCCCTGTGACTTCACACCTAAACTCATCCCCAGGTACCCCAGCTCAGGAAAGGGGAGCCAGGTACCTGTCTTACCCCCCTTTATCTCTCTGATACCTTCCAAACCTCAGCACACGTGCTGAGCCTTAACTACCCACAATCCTATACCTTACTCGGGGTTAGAACACCTCCACTAAGGTTCTGCCCCGCTCTGGGCCTGAAGCACTGGGCAGAACTGGAAAATGCCCCCTCCCTCCACAGGGGTCATCTGGCAGTCACAACAGCCGCTTGAAGGTGCACAACCTTCCTAGCCTGAGCCCTGAGCCCAGATCCAGCCTTACAAAGCGGGGAATAAATCATTTGCTAATTTTCAAGGTCAATTAACACAAGTTTGCAAGGAAATTGCTCTATCAGTCACCTGGAATGTCCGGCCGGCAGAACAGGAGGGGAACTGAGCAGCCCAGGTCTGGACACTGCATGTTTTATTGTTTTGTTTTGGTGGGTTGACTTTTGGTTTTGGTTTTGTTTTGTTTGTTTGTTTGGGTTTTTTGTTTTCGTTGTTTGCTTGTTTTAGGATAGGGTCTTGTGTAGCCCAGGCTGGACTCAGAGTCACTGTGGGGCAAAGGATGTTCTCCGTCTCCTGACCCTCCTACTTCCATCTCCCAGGTGCTGAGATTACAGGTGTGTGCTGTTATTCGAGGCCTGAAAGTTGCATGCTTTACTGGAGGCCCCTGATCACTAGCGAAGCTGGGGTGAGGGACGAGCAAAGGCTATGGAGGAAATGCTCCAGCCACTGATAAATAAATACGGTGGCTCGGCTACAGAGTAAGGGCGCGCATCCCTCAACCCAGGAAGTATCACTCTGCCGCATCTCAGCTGCCCCATGGCTTTCCCAGGCCAGCAGCAGAGTCCAGGAGCCGGCAGAGAGGCCGCTGCCACAGGGCGTAAGGCATATGGACGTGGCATCTGAGAGCGTGGGCAGCCGGTGACGTCATCGAAAAACCGGACACTTACGGGATGGCCGACGTGACACTTGTGACTTAATTAAATATGGACTTGGGACAGAAATCTTTAGCTAATACCTCTGTGGGGGAGGGTGGCTGCCCAAATGTTGTGGAACGTTATTTTAAGATGTGCTACATTCGCGTGGTGTAGAACATTGATTTTTTTTTTTTTTAGAAATACGATGCAAAGCCAGGCGTTGGTGGCGCACGCCTCTAATCCCAGCACGAGGGAGGCAGAGACAGGTGGATCTCTGTGAGTTCAAGGCCGGCCTGGTCTACAGAGCGAGTTCCAGGACAGCCTCCAAAACAATACAGAGAAACCCTGTCTCGAAAAACCAAGATATATATAATATACATATATTATATATATATGATATATATGATGCAAAGATGGTGTTGCATTTGTTTAGCTCTGTGAAGCTGTGTTGCTTTGCCTATCTAAAGCACCTGATTGGTTCTCATAAAGAGCTTGACAGCCAATAGTGAGGCAGGAGAGGGAGAGGCAGGGCTGCCAGGCAGAGAGAAGAAAGAGAAAAGAGGAAGGAATGGGAAAAAGAGAAGCAGGAGGGGCCCAGCCACTCAGCCACACAACCACGTACGTAGTAAGAAGTAAAGAACGGTGTGTAGAATAAAGAAATGTAAAATCCCAGAGGCAAAAGGTAGATGGGATAATTTAAGAAAAGCTGGCTAGAAACAAGCCAAGCTAAGGCTGGGCATTCATAAGTAAGAGTAAGTCTCCGTGTATATTATTTCGGAGCTGGGTCGCAGATCCCCCACCCCAAAGAGCAAAGAGAAAGAAAAAAACTGCACCCAAAGCTGAGACTCAACTTCTCATTTTGCTGAAGAATGCTTTGAATGACCTACTTCTAGTTGGGGAGAAAATAAAAAACAAAACCTGACGTCTCTTCAAAGACGTACGTCTTACTATGTTTTGTGAACATCCTACCCACTCCTCACTGGCCTGACAAGGAGAGAACACACACACACACTCAGAAAACCTGACAGGTCTCCCCAGTAGCTGTCTCATAACGGGCTTGCTCCTTGTTACTGAGCTGCTGGAAATATTCCACACTGGACCTTCCAAAAAGGGTCTAACCGTGCTGTTTCAGGCAGAGCGGTCTCGGGGAGCAGCAGAATTGGCCGGCGCAAAGCTGAGCAAGCGGCTTCCTCCGACAGGCCTCCGGCGCGAGGCCCGGGGTTTCTGCTACACTTTGGAGCCTGCCTCTGTGCACCTGCATTCGGAACTGCTCCCTTGCTGCGGTGCCCCTGGGCCCCACTCCCCCCCCCACCCAGGGGTCTCTCTCACCTCACTAGGATCCTGCCTCCTCACTGACAGGGGCCCTGCCTTCCCTAGTACCCTGCCCTCTTCAGAACCTCCAATGGCACCCCAATGAAGATACTCATCGGGGGAGATGATGTCAGTTTACAAGTTTGCCCGAGGAGTTGAGGAGACTGCCTTCCCAAAGCTTGTGACTCTGAGACAGACCCTCCTCTGAATTCCTCCCCCCTACAACAGCTCTGTGAGAGAAGGAAGCTCATTGATAAATTACTGGGATTTCTGAACCTTGAGATCAGCCTCCCTGTTTAATTTTCAACCCGGTGGAAGCCGGAAGGCAAACACTCCAGGCATGTTTGTGGAGAGCCCCCACCAGTGGCCTACCAGGCACCCCACGGATCCCTGAGAAGAAACCCACCGGAAAAGGGGCTCATTCCAGGAGAGCCGCACTGGGCTTGCCTGCCCCCCCCGCCCCCTTACCTCAGGCAGGTCAACCTCTGTATTCCATTCACCCAGGCCTTCCTGGTTGCTGTCTGCACTCCTGGCAAACGCAGGAACACTTCTGACTGGACACTCCCCGGCCGGCAACAGGAAGTTTCTCGCCAAGTGGCCCTGTCCTGTCAGTGGCCCAAGCTATAAACCTGGAGGTGCAGAATGGTGCCAGCGCCCCTAGCTGCGGGGACATTCCCCTGTTAACCATTAGCCAGTCCAAACACAGGAAGTCCAGGCCCAGGCGAAGAAACAGAGGAGGAGCCTCTACTCTTCCCAGTGGGAGCCTTTTCCAGTCCTTGGGGGGTGGAGGGGGTGGAGGTCACGGCTGCCCAGGTCCTTTGCCACCTGCTGGAGTCTGGCAGGGTTCCATCAGTCCCCAAAGGCTGAACCAAAATACCTTGTCCTGGCCATCCACCTGCCTCTAGCTGAGGCCCAAGGTCTGGTGAAACCGGTTCCCTCCCCCAAGCAACCAGGACAGCCAGAGAAGCAAAGCCTTGGGGAGAAGACAAAAGTCCTAGCGGGGTGGGTGAGCTGGACCTCACATCCTTTAGGAGTGTGAGCTGAAGTTCCTGGAGACATCGTCCCCTTGAAGACCACAGATTGACTGGCAGAGAGGGAATTCCTGGTTGTAGAAGCGAGAGTGTTATAGGTCCCAAACCCAGCTTACCTTGGGCTGCCTTTAGTTCCCTTGGTACCCGCTTATCGCCCATCTCTGTGTCTGTAACATCCTCTTGGCTTATCAAGTTAAAAAACAAAACCAAACAAAAGCCTTTGGAATTATTAACAGCAGAACGGACGTTGCTCCCGCCAAACTAAGACCTGGGAGTGTTGTCCAGGTAGGACCTGAAACGTGTAACAGAGACTTCAGCGTCGCAGCAACTAGCCTGCCTTCCCGATGTCCCACCGGTGTGTCTGACCCATGATGCCTTTTGTTCTATGATTTACAAAAAGTTCATGCCACTTCTGCCATGGAAACTGCCATCCTGGGAAAACTGAATCTGGTTTCCTGGGCAGGGGACACTCGCATTTGGCTCAGGATAAACTGTCCCCTACTCGATGTGGAACTCGAGATGTCTTTCCCTGTAGACCTCATTCTCCTTGGGAGCATTTGTCTGAGAACAAAGTACAAATGAACCACTGCAGGCAGGATCCTCAGCAGCCCCTGAAGAAAGGAACTTGGACCGCTGTTGAACCCTATTCCTTTCAGCCCCTAGAGGACTGAGCCTGGACTGAGAATCCCCCACTCCTGCCAGCCCCCCGGAAGACTGGATTCGGACTGTGATCCTCATTCCTACAGCCCCCATGTGACCTCTTTATACACCCACAGAGAGCCCCCCCTTCGAGAAAACACTATCTATGGTCTTTAAAACGCGTCTCTGTGTCTCCGAAGGTTTGCCGCCCCTAGGCGTCGTGCGTGTTTGGGAGGTTTGCATCTTTCCTAAGTTTGAGCCCAAAGAGAAACTTTACTGATATTTTTAGCCTTTGCTATTTTTAGATTCACAAAGTTCAAATCTGCATAACTCATATTCATGAGGCAATCCCGACGGCAGGGAGGCTCTGAAGGAAAATGAGGCATAGAGGGACGCCAGGGAAGCCCCCAGGAAACCAGGACTGAGTTCAGATGGATATGGACGTGCTAGATGGTCAGGGGAGGCAGCTGGACTGATGGGACAACCAGTCAGTCCTCAGGCAGAGGGACAAATGTTCATCAGGCAGCATGCAATGACAGGACGCCAGGGACTCCGTGGAACCTGAAGAGGTTAGAAGGCCCTGGCTGCGAAGAGGCAGAGCTGGGGTGGGCTTAGACGTACCCACAGAGGGTTCCCGCAGGCCTAGCCAGGCTTGGTTTCTGTAACCGGCTATTCAGAGGCGCGTGGCACAAAACTGTGAGAACCTTGGACTGGGAAAGGAGTGTAGGGGTGTCTGAGTTCTTAGGAAGACCTGCAGGACAGTGACCATATCTATGACGACAGCAAGAATAGCAAGCATTCTTTGAACGCTCTGGTGACTCTGCTCCAACATCATGCTGGTTCCCTTATGAACTGGTACGTTAAATAAAATCTTCAACATGTGTTCCACTCTAGACTTTCAAGACAACCATCGTTTTATCTTTTTTTTTTTTTTGAGGTAGATAGGTAGGTAGGTAGGTAGGTAGGTAGGTAGATAGATAGATAGATAGATAGATAGATAGATAGATAGATAGATAGATCCCACTGGAGAGATTTAGAAAATATTAAATAAGTGAGCCAATATTCAACTCTATCCTGCCTCCAGAAATACCATTTTTTAAATTTTATGTGTATGAGTGTTTGCCTACATGTCTGCATGTAGACTATACTCCTGCACCCTCCACAGAGGCCAGAAAAAGGAGCCAGTTCCCCTGGACAGGAATTATGGATGGTTGGTTGTAAACTGCCTTGAAAATGCTGGGAACCAAACCCAGGTCCTCTATGATAGTAGCAGGTGTTCTTAGCCACTGAGCTCTCTCCCCAGCTCCCAGAAACAGCAATTTTTATATCAGACTCAACGTCATGTAAAGAAGAAAGTGAAAGCGTTCTCTCCACCCCACATAAATGAGCGCCGTGAATTTTTAATGAGAAGCCTTAAGTATTTTCCTTATTAAAAAGGCGATACATATTTACTATAGAAAATAAGAAAAGAGCCAGGCAGTGGCAGTGCATGCTGTTAATCCCAGCACTCAGGAGGCAGAGGCAGGGGGATCTCTGTAAGTTCAAGGCCAGCCGTGTTTCCAGAGAGTTCCAGGATGGCCAGGGCTACACAGAGAAACTCTCTTGAAAAAAAATAAATGAATACTAGAAAAATAAGAAAATACATGAAAGCAAAAAAAGAAAACTCTTTTATAGTGTGTGAGTGTGAGTTAGTATGTGTGTGTGTGTGTGTGTGTGTGCGTGCGCGCGCGTGTGTGTAGGTCAGAAGACAACTTGTAGTAGTCACTTCTCTGCTTCTACCACACGGGTTCTGGGGCTTGAACTCACGTCCTTGTGTTTAGCAGAAGCCCCTTTACCCACCATGCCATATCACTGGCCCACGAAGGAGATTTTTGAGACAGAATTAAGACCACCACACTTGACAAAGCACTATGAATAGCCCAGCATATTTTTTAATGTAATGGTGTAGTGACTTAGTGGCCAGATCCTAACCCTTTAACATATCATAATCCAGGAGCTGGAGAGATGGTTTGGCTGTTAGCACTGGCTGCTCTTCCAGAGGACCCAGGTACCCGGGGTTCAATTCCCGGCCGCTCACAACCATCTGATCCGAGGGGGATGTGATGCCACCCTTTCCTTTCCTTTCATTTTTAAATAGACTGTAAGTTGCCCAGGCTGACTTTGGACTTGGATTCTTCCAACCTCAGCCAGCTGAGTAAAACAGGAATTACAGGTCCACAACTGGCCAGGCTCAAATGCCTTATTCTTAACGATTGAGCACACCCTGCCCTCTAGAGGCAGCAAGGCTAGTCCAAGTGGCATAGGTTCCAGTGGCTGGACTTTCTCCCCGAAAGTCCAGTGGCTGGAACTCTCCTATGATGTCAGTGTGAGTTCTAACACTCACCACACCCAGCTTACTCACAGTTTTTATCTGTGTGGGTGTTGAACCTTGTAAGAAGTGAATCTCAAAGAGGAAGGTGAGTGGAGTGATTTCTGTAGGGTCAGTTCTGGGGTGGGGGGGGATGCCGCCCATGCTGCAAAGCTGATAGAAAACTCAGTAGCTGATGGGATCCTGGAGAGAGCCGAATTGGCAAAGCATGGAGGGTTTTGGGACTGGGGCTCCCTGCTCCGTGGGAGGGTGCAATTTGAATGCAGGACACAGTACAGGTGTTTGCCCAAACCCAGAGTGTCCCACAGCCAGAGTGAGGCCTGGAGTAAACAGGGTGAGTATCAGAGTCAATGCAGGGTCACTGGCTGCTAACACACAGGCCCACTGTTTCAGAGGGCAGTGGTGGGAACTGCACGTGAAGGGGACAGAGATCTATGACTCTCAACGCCATTTGCTCAATTTGCCTGGGAACCTAAAGCCACTCGTTTTAAAACGTAAAACTTATTGCCATTAATAATGATTATTTTTGGTTTTCTTAGGTAGGGTATCACACAGTAGCCTACACTAGCCTCAAACTGACTTTGTAGCCAGGAACGACCTTGCTCCTCCATCTCTCCACCCAGCTTTTATGTGGTTTGAGCACAGGCTTCACGCTCGCTAGGCAAGCACTCTGCCAACTGAGCCACAGCCACAGCCACAGCCCTAAAATTGATTTTATTTTTTCATTGATCACTGTGAGGTCCACTGTATTAGCAAATGGCCCGGTAGTGTCTCAGAAGACACAGCCCAGCACATCACTGCTGGCTTAAGATGTAGCAAAAGCCTGGAGATTAAAATGAAAGACAAGATGTCCAGCCGTTTGTGCTACGAGAATGCATGCGTGTGTGCATGTCCCTGTTGCAAGGAAGGAGCAGCCTTATATAAAGACTTACAGCACAGTGGAGAAACCCCGGGTGTGAGAGTCCGTGTCTTCCTCGTGTTAGAGTTATGTCGGTGGGGCAAGGCTGGGGCTGTAAGCCAGGACTAGAGAGCAGGATGCACCTATGGTTATTGGCTGACAAGCAATGCGCAGAGATCCGTGGGGGGATGGGACCCAACAAAAAAGGCCAGAGAAGATGGACTCCACAGCTGCGTCGGAGGTCGGCCAAGTCCAAGAGAAGCACGGGCAGTTAGACCCACACTGCTCTCTCATTGGACCGCTTTGCCTCTAGGTTACCCATTAGAAGGTGCCTGCTTGGAGGGAGGGTCTTCCCCAATAGGCTAATCTCTTGAAAGGATTTTTTACAGATGTATGCCTAGACGGAGTGGGGAGGGAGTTCAGAGTCATTCTAAATTCTCCCAAATGGGCGATCAAAACCCAACCGTCAGACAACTCCTTGATGTCCTTCCGTGCCGGATGGGGTCATTTCTAAGGAGGCTCAGTCACGGGGTTGAAGTGTCAGTGTCTTCGATGCTCTTCTGCTGCTGTGAAGAGACCACACCCAAGGCAGTTTATAAAAGGAAGCATATAACTGCGGGGGGGGGCTTGCCCACCATTTCAGAGGGTTAATCCATGACCATCATGGCAGGGAACACGGTGGCAGTAGACAGGCAGGGTGTGGCATTGGAGCAGTAGCTGAGAGCTCACACGTCTGATCCAGAAGTTGCAGCCAGGCTTGGC